CAACCCCTACCCCTCTCTCCTCCTACCCTACCTTCAACCCTACCTCCAACCCCTACCCCTCTCTCCTCCTACCCTACCTTCAACCCTACCTTCAACCCCTACCCCTCTCTCCTCCTACCCTACCTTCAACCCTACCTCCAACCCCTACCCCTCTCTCCTCCTACCCTACCTTCAACCCTACCTTCAACCCCTACCCCTCTCTCCTCCTACCCTACCTTCAACCCTACCTCCAACCCCTACCCCTCTCTCCTCCCACCTCTATGTGAAAAAGGGACTTAATCAAGATCAAGATAATCATAATAAGGAAAAAACGTATGTGGAAAGCAGGTTAAAAACAAATCGATTTTACAAAATTGTGAATTACCTCCTATCCCACTCTTCCCCCTACCCCCCCCCCCTCTCAGGTAGCTCAGTGCTACCTTACAATGCTTTCCAAATAGTTGTAAACACAACTTTTATACGAAAATATAGTTTTATTAAAAAGTACCAACATGCACAGTGCACTCTGCACTCTGAATTGAACAAAGAATAGGGCATTTTACAGTTTTCACAAGGTGTTCCAATAAACATAGGAATATAGTGATCACTCTTTAAAAAAAAAAATTTCTTCGAAATACAAACAGAATAGTAGGGATAGAAATTTTTGAAAAATATCCCTTTTTTCATAATTTTGCACAAAATGTTTGTTGTCACGAATATGCACAAAATGCAATAAAACACAATTAACTTTGATTCCAAAATATTAATTATTAATTAATAAAACCATCAAATTGATTGAGATATTCAGAGTTTTGTTATTGTTTTGATTTTTAACTTTATCAAAATTGTCTGAAAGGAATTTAGTCTTCGCCACAAACTATGATTATCTAATCCCTGTATCTTTGCAGCCCAATATCGTAGACCTTTGATATTTCAAACTCTGAATTCTGTTAAGGATCCAATAATCTAAGTTTGTTATATTTATAATTTACACCATCAGGTTACACAGATGTAGTAATTAGACAATAAGAGTTTGTGGCAAAGACAATGCAATGGGACAATATTTTTGATAGCCAGCGATCGAGCGGGATATTCTTATTTATCTATGAACTTTTTTTCAAACTTTCTAACCTACATGTTTGATATTGGATGCTATAATCTCATTATTATTATTTTTCCCTGTATTTTCTGTAAAAAAGCATATTCTTCCCTTTAACTCGAGAATATTGATTATCGGTATTTTTATTATTTGATCTTTTCAAGATTTCCAATATATCTTTATAATATTCATATATTATATAAATACTTGTATTCAGGATAAAGTATGGAGGAGGTGTCCTACAGGGCTAAAAGTACTCTAGGCACTTATTCATTCAAATATATTCATTCATTCATTGCAATCATCTAATTTTTAAGTCCCAAAACCAAGTTGTTTCATCCCTAGTATCATCCTTGAATAAGTTTCAATGTCTATGCATATATTGAATAATAAAGTGAGTGTCTCTATTTATATTGAATAATAAAGTGAGTGTCTCTAAATATATTGAATAATGAAGTAAGTGTCTCTACATATTTTGAATAATATAGTGAGTATCTCTACATGTTTTGAATAATATAGAGAGTATCTCTAAATATATTGGATAATAAAGTGGGCGTCTCTAAATATATTCAATAATAAAGTGAGTGTCTCCTCTAAATATATTGAATAATAAAGTGAGTGTCTCTGAATCAATGTTTCCTGGCATCAGTACATCTGTGGCGGGAAAGGTGGGCATTTTCTTAACTATTATTATTTTCAAATTTTCAATTTTTTAAAAATGTTATAGATTATTTAGATAACGAAGAGTAATTTTGTCAGTCAGCAATTGAAAAAATAGAGACAGTATTAAAGTTCCGGCTAGTTTTATCTGAATAGTAAAAATTAATTTAATCATTTAATTATTTTCAGAAAATAAAACTTTTTCATTTTCTAGACTACATTGAGAAGAGGTTTGGGGAATGAAATGGTCTCCAGTCTTCCTCTACAGGTTGATAAAAAATAAGTTTTTGGATCAATTTGGTTTTGAGAAAATACAAATTTTGACGCCTCGTTCGACCCGAAATTTGTCTGCGCAATAAAGGGACTTGCGCAATCCTTGTTTATAAGAAGCAACAGAGAAACACACAGTTCTTCCACATTTTTGAACAGATTAAGGTTTTACGTTGGGAATCCAAAATTGCCTACTTTGCATGGAAGATCACTTACAGCCCCTTTAATGTTTAGGTTTTGATGTTCTTGAACGTGATATATTTCCCTGTATGGTTGAGTATTCTGCTAATGGTGACCTGGTTCAAGTTCGCACTCCTCAACTATCTTTACAAGTTCGTTCTCACAACCGTCCTCGTAGCATTCTCAACTATAGAGATAGTTCGTCTTTATCTTGGATACCTTGGTGAGTTTAGGTTGTCTTTATCTTTAATACCTTGGTGAGTATAGGTCGTCTTTATCTTGGATACCTTGGTGAGTACAGGTCGTCTTTATCTTGGATACCTTGATGAGTATAGGTCATCTTTATCTTGGATATCTTGGTTAATATAGGTCGTCTTTATCTTTGATACTTTGGTATGTATAGGTCGTCTTTATCTGGGATATCTTGGTGAGTATAAGTCGTCTTTATCTTGGATACTTTGGTGAATATAGGTTATCTTTATCTGGGATACCTTGGTGAGTATAGGTCGTCTTTATCTTGGATACCTTGGTGAGAATAGGTCGTCTTTATCTTGGATACCTTGGTAAGTATATGTCGTCTTTATCGGGGATACTTGGTGAGTATAAGTCGTCTTTATCTTGGATACCTTGGTGATTAAAGGTAATTTTATCTTGGATTCTTTGGTGAATATAGGTCATATCTTTATCTTGGATACCTTGGTGAGTATAGGTCATCTTTATCTGGATACCTTGGTGAGTATAGGTCGTCTTTATCTTGGATACCTTGTTGAGTATAGGTCGTCTTTATCTTGAACCTTGGTGAGTATAGGTCGTCATTATCTTGAACCCTGGTGAGTATATTTCGTCTTTATCTTGAACCTTGGTGATAATAGGTCGTTTTTATCTTGGATACTTTGATATGTATAGGTCGTCTTTATCTGGGATATCTTGATGAGTATAAGTCGTCTTTATCTTGGATACTTTGGTGAATATAGGTCATCTTTATCTGGGATACCTTGGTGAGTATATTTCGTCTTTATCTTCAACCTTGGTGATAATAGGTCGTTTTTATCTTGGATACCTTGGTGTGTATAGTTTGTCTTTATCTTGGATATCTTGGTAAGCATAGGTCGTCTTTATCTTGGATGCCTTGACAATTGTAGGTCGCCTTTGTGTTGGATATCATGGTGAGTATAGGTCGTCTTAATCGTGGATACGTTGGTGAGTATAGTTCGTCTTTATCTTGGATACCTTGGTGAATATTGGTCGTCTTTCTCTTGGATATCTTGGTGAGGTTAGGTCGTCTTTATCGTGTATATATATGTGTTACAGGTCGTCTTCATCTTGAATATTTCTTACAGTTATTTCTTTATTATTGCAAATAATAATAAATTTTCATTTAAAGTTAGAAGTTTTAATTTGATAGTTTCTAAAGTTACCGCGGCAGGTAATAACTAGAAAGCCCCCCCCCCCGCATTTCTGAAATTCTGGGATTAAGGTTGCAGATTCTTTAGTTAATACTTGAGCCTGTCTGAGAGCTGCGGTTTAAGCGGTAAAAAGTTTGATCTCGGATCCTTCTAAAATAGAATTAAAATACAGCCTCACTTTTACGCTTTATTCTTAGTTATAGAATTCTAAAAGAATATAAGATATTGTTTTAACTTTACAGTGGTACTCATTAAACTTTTGCTTAAAAAAAGCTCCGTCGAAAATCCATTTACTCCTCAGGCCTAACCTCAAAAAAAAAAATGCACTTTTTGTGTAATAAACAACTGTGTTCAAAATTCAGAAGTTAAAACACAACCCTATTCACTAATAAATAGCTATAATCCATAAGTATTGTCTATTGATTTATTTTACCCCTCCACGCTGAAATCAAACACGTATAAAGCACAACAAAATGACATGGCGGTAGGGGAGGTGNGATCTGTGAAATATAGTTTAGAATTCCGCTGAAGATAAACTAGATTTTCTATTTCTTGGAAAAACTGTAGTTTTCCGAGTAACAGAAAAAATATACATTAAAAATCAGACGTGAACATGGTGGAAAAAATAACATTCATGCAACTTGAAAGGATTTAAATGAATTGAGACTTTGCCACAAACTCTGATTTTCTAATCCCTTTATCTTTGCAACCTACTGTCGTAGACCTTTGATATTTGAAACTATGAATTCTGTTAAAACAAAAGTTTGACGTATCAAAGGTTTAAACCGCTAAGATAAAAATATTAAGGGATAGAATAATCTTAGTTTGGGCAAAAACTCAACTTCTTTGCATAACACTTATTTCAGCTATGTGAATGGCAGTAGAATATAGAATATACAGTACGGATCTTAGCTATGTGAATGTAAAGAATATTCAGTAGTGACCCAATTAAAGGGCTTTAGCCTTTAGGTTTGTTTAGAAAATAAGGCAGCATATGCAATAAACATTGCCTAGGACGCATTAAAGTAAAAGCCCGGTTCAAAGTTTTAAGGCAAAGTTAGAAACAATCTACGTAAAACACTTTTAGTGCATATTTTTTTTTAAGTTGGATAATTAACTCTGGAGTTGGAGTAAAAATATAGTGAATTAATATATATATATATATATATATATATATATATGCGTGCTCTTTTCTTATCAACAAATTTAGCTTTTAAATGTTGCTCTGAAAGTTGCTATTTTTAATCATTCTCAAATTTTGGCGGATATTTCTATTCAAAAATAATAATGGTCCACATTTTTTACGAGCCACGTGCACTTTCTATGGGGTCATGTGAGTTGCCATAAAAAAAAATTGGGCCTTATCGGTTCAGCGGTTGTGACGTTTATTGGATACAAAAAAAACATACAATTACAGTTGCTTATCTTCTACATTTATAAAGATGTGATCTCTGTGTGTCTCTCTGTTTTTGTCGATCATAACTCAGGAACCCCTGGACATATTTGCCTCCAATTTTGATTTGTGAACACTGGAGGCCCACGGGAATGTTCTTAGCTTGGTTTTAAGATTCTAAGTTAAGTGAGTCGACTTTAAGAGCGAAAATTTAGTTTCCCTGTAAAATCGTTCCAGTGCGGGTAAACGGCGGGAGTAACTTTTAGTAACCTTGGCAGCGCTGAGTTTCAACCCAGTATTCTATATAATTACATCCGAGCAGACTCACTAAACATTTTAACTCAACGTAGAGAAACCAAATATTTCAAGTTTAATTTAAAATTCAACTGAATGCAAATTGAATATAAACTAAACTAAGGAATTTTATTTATTAGAATTATATGTCAAATAATGTTTAACAAACTTAAAGTAAATAAATACTGAAGTACATGAATACTAAAGTACATGAATACTAAAGTATATGAATACCAATGTACATGAATACTATAGTACATGAATAATAAAGTACATGAATACCAAAGTACATGAATACTAAAGTACATGAATACTAAAGTACATGAATACTATAATACTTGAATACTAAAGTACATGAATGCTAAAGTACATGAATACCAAAGTACATGAATACTAAAGTAAACGAATACTATAGTACATAATACGAAAGTACATAAATACTTAAGTACATGAATGATATAGTACATGAATACTAAAGTACATCAAGACTAAAGTACGTAAATATTGTAGTACATATAGTAAAGTACATGAATACTAAATCACATGAATGCTATAATACATAATACTTAAGTACAAGAATAATAAAGTGCATGAATAATATAGTACATGAATACTAAAGTACATCAATACTAAAGTACATGAAAACTATTGTACATATATGGTGCATAATACTAAAGTACATGAATACTAAAGTACAAGAATACTATATTACATAATACTAAAGTACATGAACACTAAAGTAAATAAATACTAATGTACATGAATTACAAAAGTACATTAATACTAATGTTTGAAATATTAAAGGATAACACCATTATGTTAAAAAGATACAGGAATTAGAAAATTTGAGGTTGTGACAAAGACTAAATTTATTTCGAAAATCGGGTTTTCTTCTAACCAACCGTTCAAGAACATATTGGGAAAATTACAAAAATTCCAAGTTCCAGCAATTTTTTATTTTTTTATTTTAGGAAATCTGAAAGAACGAGTTCCTGAGCTGGCAGGATTCTGGTTACTTAGGTTTATTTAATTATCATTACTATATTAATAGTTATCTCTCATTTCTGATTTAACTATCTACTCCAACAGTAAAATAGGAGTCCATTTTTTGAAGTTGAAAGGACTCTACGATCTTCAGCATTTGTTTTAACAATTTTCTCCTTAAATAGACGCAACAGATAGAAGTAAGATTAGTAGCGATCAGAAGCGCTTAATTTTCGCCGTAAGCCTCTACCCCCTTTCATTTTTCGCAAACACTCCCTTTAACACATTTTGTAAGAAGAATTAGAATACCATCGGAAAACTTTCACACTTTCTTGCACTGTAAAACCTTTTCTGAAAATTGCATTCTGTATCAATATTTCCATCTATCTATCTTTTTCAATTTTGAATTCTCAGCCTTTGGTGACATTTAATTTATTCGCATTTTTGGTTTATTTAGCTCAAACACATTATACGAAACTGTTCTACAAAACTTCTGGCATTCTTAGAATTCTCAGAATACTAGAATACTAGAATACTAGAATACTTGAATACTAGACTACTAGAATACTAGAATGCTAGAATACTAGAATATTATGATACTAGAATACTAGAATACCAGAATACTAGAATATTATAATACTAAAATACTAGAATACTGGAATACTAGAATACTAGAATACTAGAATGTCTGCAATTATGGTAATGCAATGCAGTCGACTTTGTATTTACAACTTGCATTTTTCAAATTACAAGTTAAAAACTAAACCTAAAAAATAGAAGCATGTTAATTATCAGCTGCTCATTTTTATCATGTTTATATGTCTCTTCTGTTTGAAAGATTGGTAGCAATCTAAATTGAAATAGAAAGTCGTCTTTATTGTATGGATATATTAGACGACGCGACAACTGTAGAATACTAGAATACTTTAATCTGGGAACCCCTTTCAGCTTTTCTCTAAAGCATTAGTTGACCAAGTCGTATTTTAGTTAAGTCCGGGAATGCGCTATTCTGATTGGTTGGATTTGCGATTGCCAACCAATGGCAATAAATCTGACCCAGGGTCTGAGTACCCGCCAAAGAGGGGAAAAATTAGTTAGCCTTGAATCATTGTTTTATTAAAGCAAATTCTGACAAAGTGTTCAGCTGATCAAATTAATATTATTTCTGTTCTTAAAGTATGTCACACATGAATAAGATCGCAATGAAATTAATAAAATGGTCAACTTTACTTAATTTAGTGTAATAATAATATAAACAAATCTAGTGTACTTCTTCAGCTTCCCTTGGCTGCATTTCTTCTCTTTAATACGGATCTTATCCTAGTTCCAATAGAGACTGCTGCAGATATAGTAAGTATAGATCTTATCCTGGTTCTCATAGAGACTGCTGCAGGAGTAGTAAGTATAGATCTTATCCTGGTTCCCATAGAGACTGCTGCAGGAATAGTAAGTATAGATCTTATCCTAGTTCCAATAGAGACTGCTGCAGATATAGTAAGTATAGATCTTATCCTGGTTCTCATAGAGACTGCTGCAGGAGTAGTAAGTATAGATCTTATCCTGGTTCCCATAGAGACTGCTGCAGGAGTAGTAAGTATAGATCTTATCCTGGTTTCCATAGAGACTGCTGCAGGAATAGTAAGTATCGATCTTATCCTGGTTCCAATAGAGACTGCTGCAGGAGTAGTAAGTATATATCTTATCCTGGTTCCCATAGAGACTGCTGCAGGAATAGTAAATATAGATCTTATCCTGGTTCCAATAGAGACTGCTGCAGGAATAGTAAATATAGATCTTATCCTGGTTCCAATAGAGACTGGTGCAGGAACAGTAAATATAGATCTTATCCTGGTCTCAATAGAGACTGGTGCAGGAATAGTAAGCAAAGAACTTATCCTGGTTCTCATAGAGACTGGTGAAGAAATAGTAAGCATAAAACGTATCCTGGTCCCAATGGATATTGGTGCAGAAGTAGTAAGTATAGAACTTATCCTGGTTCTCATAGAGACTTCTGCAGGGACAGTAAATATAGAACAATTATACCTCTGGATTGCACTGCAGGAATAACAAGTATAAAATTCTATCCAGGATATATATGGGGTTACCCACAAAGGATGAGACCGTATAGACAATGAAACTCTTTAAATATGATAATCTCAAGCTTAAAATATTGACTTTTGGTTGTAGTCCTTAAATGGCTTATTTAATAATTTGCCAAATAAATAAGTTTTAGTTTCAAGGAATCATAAATATACTAAATAAGATATTAAAAATTTCGTACTTTAGTCTGTACTGTCTCATGATTTGTGGGTAACCCTGTATCTAACTGAATTTATTTCAAGATTATGGGGTTTAAAGTTTGAATTTACCTCAGGGAATTGGTAAATGGAGAGAAACCATATTTTATTGATGCTAAAACTATAAATATATAAACCTTGAGATAGATGGGTAATATATAAACCATGAGATATATATAAACCATGAGATAGATGGGTAATATATAAACCATGAGATGGATGGGTAATATATAAACCATGAGATGGATGGTAATATTGATATTTAGGTCTAATTAAAAATAATTGTCTTTACAGGGAATGTAAGCGTAATGACCCTCCGTGCAAATGGCCGATTTACAATGGTACCGTTAAAAAAGCTTTGTCTGATTAATTTTAAATAATACACTGGATGTTTATATTTTAGAAGTATTTTAGAAGTTTTGTAGCTGAGATTTAGCTTATTAGCTCCAGGAGCAGCTGAGGTTTAGCTTATTAGCTCCAGGAGTAGCTGATTGTAGGACGAAGGAATAGTGAACTCGTGGATAAGAAGTTTAAGCTTGAGATTGTCATCCTCGTCCAATTCTTGAGCTGTTTCTGACCAGGAGGCTGTGTTTTCGGCCATGGTTCTTTTGTTGTCTGGGGTCACCACTTTAGAAGTACATTTATTGCTTCTAGATATAAATACATATTAAATAAAGAGTGTATAAAAGGAGAGGAAGTTGAGAAGGTCTTCTCCGGTTCTAGGGTCCGACACAACTGATTTGCGGATTTCCTAATCCTCTTTCGGGGATTTCATATCCTCTACAATATTTCATTTAAAACTAAATATTTTCAATTGAGGTTTCTCTACAAAAGTGATTTGCGCATTTCTACTGCAGGAAAACACAAAGGAAAATCTAAAAACCTAGAAAAATGAAAATATTTTCTATATCATTAATAAGATAAATGCCTTAAGGGTATCATTGTGAATTGGGCATTGCCATCTCTGAAAAGGGTCACTTGAATTGAAAAACGCTTTTAACCTTCTTGAAATTTTTTTAAAAAGATTTAGAACATCAAATCTATCTAATCTATAAATAGATTTGTTTAATTTAGATAATGTTTATATTCATCGTGGCAGAGCTGTTTATTGGATTTTTCTCACTTAGAACCATGACGAGGCATCAAGCTTACAGGTATACAGCGAGTATCGAAACATGTCCCCTGTAGGGCTGGGCGCGTTCCTGGTGGAACGATCGTTCTTTACCGAGAAAGAACGGAACATCGGAGTATCGAAACATGTCCCCTGTAGGGCTGGGCGCGTTCCTGGTGGAACGATCGTTCTTTCCCGAGAACGAACGGAACGATCCCATTGTTTCGAAAAAACGAACGCTTAGAACGCATTCTTAAAAATATTGGAAAGATTAGTAAAAGAACGGAACGGAACGGAAATTGCTTGAAAAGAACGGTCGAAATCGTTAACGCGTTCTAAGTATTTTAGAACTCCCGCCCCTCCCCCCGCTCTCACAAAATTATAAATTATCTAAGCTTATTCTTTTAACCCTAAATTTAAAATTTATAATTTAAAGTATATTTACGGCGAGGAACTTTTTATTTTAACCAACTCTTTTCTATAAAACTTTTGTCTTGGATGGAATTGTTCGTTACTAAGAACAGAACGAGGGATGGAAACGTTCTTTGACTAACAACGGAACGAGAGGGATGGAACCGTTCTTTAAATAAGAACGCCAAGAACGGAACGGAACAGGAAGACCGTTCTTTATCTCAGAACAAAACGGAACTGGGCGGAACGGAACGAGAACGGAACAATAAAAAAGGAACAAGAACGGAACGAATTAGCTGAAGGCCCTCGTTCTAGAACGGAACAGAACGATTTCAAAAAAGTCGGAACATGCCCAGCCCTAGACTCCCCTGTATTTAGCAAACAATATGAAGTGTGCGCACTGTAATAAATTATGCATTTTTGAGAAGCCCTTGGCCTAGCGAATTCAAATATGCAAAATATTTTAAAACTGAATGTGTATTGAAGGAAAACTGAAAATGTGCAAATTCCCTTTAAAGGCGTCTGTGCTAAAATGTATGCAAAATGTTTTTGCAAAAATTTTGCAATCTACTACCTTGTGTTAAAATCTTCGAAATGTTAAAATCTAATGACTGGAAGTAGGTTTAAATATAGCTTTAGTCTGGTATAGGTAAAATAAGGCATTCAGGCAGTATTCCTGAGGACTTAGGCAGTAGGTATAAAAGCTCCGCTTTATACATAAAGTTAGGGCCGCATGTGTTAGCTGGAATAGGGGTACTAATACACATTACAATAGATATTACGAATAATCAATAGAATTTCAATTAGAAATGAGATTAAAGGTAATGTAGACGTCCATCTCATTAATAAAGATAATGTAGTTGTTATATCTTGAAAAGTGATAATTTCTCCAATGGTGTCTTACAGATTTTAACGCGCAAGTAAATTTTGTAGAGAATTAAAAATTATCAGATTTTACAATTATGGATATGTAATTACTACTTGATCACACAAAGTTTTAAGGAGTACTTTTGGAAGAGTTGTATAATCATAATTCAATGATTTATTAAAAAATAAGTCTTCAAAGAAAAGAGATAAATTAGAAATGAAGTGTCTTTTATATATATTTTCTTTTTCTATTTTATCAATTTATGAAACATTTAAAGGGACTGTAAGCGTAATTTCATGTGACCCTCCATACAAAGATGGCGATGTCCGATCCATACAAAGAGGGCGATGTCCGATTTACACTTAAAAGCTGCGTCTGATCAAGAATGAATTATGTACCAATTGCCTTACTCCAACAATACTTTAGTCTGTATCAATCCAGATATAACTCGCTTTAGAACTCTATACTCTCTACACGAGAACTAATACTCTAGTCTGTATCAATCCAGTTACAACTAACCCTGTATTCTTAAGAATGTATCAATGCTGATATAATTCGCTGTCGAACTCTATACTCTCACATGAGAACTAATACTCTAGTCTGTATCAATCCAGTTACAACTCTCTCTGTATTTGTCAGAATCTATCAATGCCGATACAACTCTCTCTCTAACATCAATCCAGATACAACACTCTCTGTATTCGTCAGTATCTATCAATCGAGATAAAATGATAGTATCTTCCACATTTTTGATCAGATAAAGGTTTCAAGGAAATCATCGAGAATCTGGCATTGCGATTTTTGCATGGAGGAACACTTGAAATTACGCTTACAGTCCCTTTAATATTTTAATTTTCTAGATTTCATCTGCAAGAGATAACTCAGATGAGTAATCTCGAAGGATATGTCAACAAGGAAAACAATCAAAATATCATTTATCAATCTAGGGCTCTTCATTCAACTTTTACAGATTTTAGTTTTTTTTTGGTATTCTGTCTGCAAAAATATTTAAAAAAATATACACCAACTAGCTAGAGTGCCTGGCTTTGCCCGTGGAATTAAATAAAAACGAATTTTGAAGAGAAAAAATCGATTTTGAAAAAAAAAGATTATTTAGATAACCATAAAGAATTTGTAGATTTTCGTGTTTTCACAAGAAAAAGGCTAAATTATTTTATTTTTCTTTAAGTAAAGCAAAAGTTTTTTCCGTAAAAAAATCGTATCAACATAAATAATTCAAATAGTTTGTTTACATAAAACATGGGAAAACGTTGAATTAGTTAATTTTCTTAAAAAAAACTTTTCAGATTAATTTTGATATATCAGATTTCTTCATGTCCCATATCTACTAATTAAGTTTATTCCCAAATGAGTTCCGTGGTCATAGGACTCCCTCGAGATATGTTTGTAATATTAACAATATTGTGCTTGATAATCTATATCATATAGTCTTAAAATATGGTGTGTTATAAAAACTGAAAAAGCTTGATTTTTTTTAAATTGCAAATATTAAGCGAAATTTTTATTATCTTGGTGGATTCTATTGGCTTTCTTCATTAGTGAAAGGAAAAAGGTATCAGAGTCTTAAAAGAGGAAAATCTTGCAATTGTTTAGTGGATTAATGTATGGAAAACTGAATTTTCGAAAATCTGAAAATTAAAAGATCTTTACCAGAGCATTACCTTTCACCCCTTCATCATATTATGTGTTAAACCCTTTCTTCACTTTTAAAATTGGTTTTGTGAAAAATATGTTTACACCAAAATTTGTAGTTTTGCAACTTATGATCTCTCGCATTTTAACTGAAAAAGCAAAAAATAGATTTTAACGTTTCTCTCTTTGAAATTTCAATTTTTTCTTTGTTAATGTGTTTGAACCATTAAGCTAAAGTACTTGTTTAGTGTTAACAATGTGGGGGGGGGGAGGTGGATAATAAGCTAAGGCTTTTAATATTTTATAAAGTATAATGAAGGTTTCTAATATCATTTGTGTTGCTTCAGCCATCATCATTTTAACAAAAAGATATTGATTGTTTAAATTATCAGGCCTATTCTCCAGACCTTGAAACCAATAAAGTTGTCTAAAACTATTAGAACTACGCTACGTTCTTTTATCATGATTATGTCAAGACTGTTAGTTCTTTAGTTCTACGACTGTATCCTGTTCTGTACACTGTACCGTACTGTACAAGCTGTGTACGCGGGCCGCTGATACGATATGCAGGAAATAAAACCATTAGCCAGCCCTAGCAGCTGTCCGGCTATACTTATTGGAACTGTAAAGTGTAGACCTAGCGGTTTGGCATTTCAAAAACAGTAGCCTTAAAAGCTTTGTAAAATAGAAAATAAATACAATATCCAGAATGTTTCTCTATGGAAATTGATTATTTTCTATTGTGGATTCTCTTTAACAGTGACTGGCGGATTTCTTCTACAGAAACAAATAAGAAAATTGTGACAATTCAAAACTTTAAAAGTTAGAAAAATTACAATATATTCGTCATTTCTCATCAGATGTCGAGCATACACCTAGTCACATTCCCTTGAACTTATCAAAAAGTGTGCTCAATAAAGAGCGAACATTTACAAAGTTACCCACGAAAGATAATACTTTAATGAACACCAAAAACAAATACTTAAAAAAAATTAATGTTTGTCTTTCTCCAACTTAATTGTTTTTTGTTGATTTGAAGACCGTTAAGAATTTAAATTTAAAGTTTTTTAGTTAAATTTTAAAACAATACATTTTTCTGAAATTTTCAATTTTTTCAAATTGTTGCTGCCCTTTAACGTCGACCCCAGAGGTTTCACCCAAAAATTGAAAATGTTTTTAACATTAATATTTATTTTTAAATTTTCAGCCAAGTCGGAGATTATCATCTTTGTATAGGCTGTTCCTGTTGTTAGAAATGACCATTTCTTAATAAATATATATCTATATATATCAAACGATTGATTTTGTTTCTTGTTATGCTATGCTTTTTTGTTGTAAAATGTTTTTCATGAACGGAAAAAATTTAAATTCGTAAAATTTCGTTCAAAGGAAGTTTGAATAAATTTTAAAATTTGTTAAAAAACAAGCTTATGCAGCCCCAGCCCATCACTATATAAATAGTCACACTGTAACGCAAAACTATCTGGGGCTAGTTTTTCCGGGGTTTCGCTGTAAAAAAAACTTATTAGTGGGCTGGTGGCTTATATATTACATTGTTTTCTGTACAACTATAAAATTAGTTTCTTGTTATGGACTTGAAGACAAACAGAACTTGTCAGTAGTCTAGACAGTTCGCGCATTAATCTGGTAAACTCTTTAGTTAGTTTGCTGCAGTATTAATATATTCTTCTCATTTCTTAAACCCATCAAAATGTGGAGGAGAGGGGGGATTGTACATAATAAACCCCCTTCCCCCTCCTCCTCACCAGACGGAAATGAGTCATTGAGTGTACTGTCACGTTGTCTATCTATTGGTCCGTGCAGTATACTGTACAATTCTTGCCCTAGTTTCCTATAGTCAGTCGATCCGGTACTTCAAATAAACCGGAGTTCAACGTGTTCCCACCGTCCCCCCCCCCCCTTCCCGCTGGAAAATCTTTAGGGTTTACTATTATTGACATTAGATTCAACTAAATATTACAACTCCTCTATCCCCATCCCTATGCTAAACTATATCCACCCCTTTTCGCACCACTTTTCCCATCCCAATATCCATCATTATTTTTATCCATTTCCTCTACTTTTCCAACTCTTATCCTAGTCCTCGCTCCTAGATTCATCCTTATTCCAAGATTCCAACCCCCTATTTTTGCCTCCTTTTACGCTTCTTTTTTTGCAGTAATTTTTTTACCGCTCTCCCAATTTCCCAATCCCACTTTTATTCCCACTTTCCACTTATTTTCTTACTCTTCCTACCTTTCCTAATCTAATTCCCACTATGTTTTCCCTCCCATCTCCAACCCTGCTTCAAGCCCTTTTCCACCCCTTGCTTCCACTCCAATCCACAGAGCAGAAAATATCTTTCTTATTCCATCTTGTATTTTCACACCATAGTTACACTATATCTCCTACTCCTATTCCAACTCGTATTTAACTCCATATTTCCACTATATTTCCTAATTCTATTCCAACTTGTATTTTCACTTCATATTTTCACTATATCTCCTACTCCTATTCCAACTCGTAATTAACTCCATATTTCCACTATATTTCCTTATTCTATTCTAACTTTTATTTTTACTCCATATTTCCACTATATTTCTTAATTCTATTCTAACTTTTATTTTTACTCCATATTTCCAATATGACTCTTACTCCTATTCCAACTTGTATTTTTACTCTATATTTTAACTATATCTCCTACTCTTGTTCCAACTTGTATTTTCACTTCATATTTCCATTATATCTCCAACTTCTATTCCTATTCTAATTATTGACTGAATATCGAGTACCTCTTAGACATTGTGAACCCAGGTTTTTGTTCTTTCTATATATTGAATAAATTGTGGTGCTTGGTGCCTTTTCTTTCTGCTATTCAAGCTTAAATAGAACCTTTGTCTCCGTTATTTTCCCGATAAATGAATATGATACCAAAAATGCATTTTTGTCAACCACTTCAGTATTCATCTTTTTTTCAAAACAAATTCAAGCTATCTAGCTCGCCTGCTGCATTTATCTATAAAATAAAGCTCTATGCTCATGTATATATATTTGTATGTAAGTATCTTTGAATACATATTTATATGTTAGCTTTAGCTGCCCAAACAGCGGAATTGAATAGGCTGAATATTTTTGAGGGAACCCATGGGTGTCTGGAGAGTAACAACAGTTAAAAAAAAATTGAAGATTTTTTAAATCGATTTTTTTCTTTTAAAAATAATAATTAGTTTTTTTCAAAATTCGATTAAAAAAATTCCACGCCAACGCCGCGGGCACTTCAGTTATAAGTGTTTATGTATAGTTATATGTTAGCTAGATATAATTGCCCAAATGCCTGAACCAAAAGTGCTGAAATTTATTTAGGTAACCCAAGGGTGCCCGAGGAATAACATAGACAAAAAAATCAAACTTTAGTTTTTCAAAAATAAAAAATAAATGTAATTGTTTTTTTTAAATACCACGGACAACGTCGGGCACTTCAGCTAGTTTTACATAATTTTTTTGTTCAATTATTTTTGGTAAAATAAAATTTTGCAGAAAAAATATGTTTTGCACTACTTTGAAAATCAGGACTGATTTTATTAATTGTGTTTTTATGCACTAAGATTTGAAAATCATTACATTAAAATATTTATATAATTGCTTTTCTACAAAAAATTATTTGAAATCATATACAATTAAAATGTATAAATAAATAATTAAAAAATATGTGTTAAAAATCAAGTTCACGCAGGGTTACCCACAAAGTATGAGACCTTAAAAACGACCTGAAACAGCAGTTTTAGGGTTGAATTTGGGCTGGTTTGCAGTTTACACGCCGTCTTGTAATAATTTGAAGATTAAACAAAGAAAGTTTTCAGCTGATGGGAACAATCAATGTAAAACAAAAAGACTGAGTAAATGTTGACAGTTTTCTCTGAAGTCTCATATTTTGAGCGTAACATTGTATATTAAAAAAAAAATCTAAAAGTCTACAGTGAGCTCTAAATACATGAGTATTAAGTGACAACTTTAAAGTCGTCTTTGAGTTCAATGTTCAAATTTAATAAATTACTGCCGCGACTTACGACCTAGAATTTACTACTTTTTATGAATCTGATTTATGAACCTCTAAATGGGAATTTGAGAATTAGATCTAAAAGATGAAGAAATCGATCAAAAATAACTTTTTAGATCTAAATCTGCACTTTAGACAAAAATGGAATTTGAAATAAAATCATTAGAATTTAATTTGAAATATTTTTTTCTCAAAAATATAGATTTCTGGATAAGGAGTATTTTTGAAAATCTCAACATGAGATATTGAGAATATAAAATCCCAACATGTGATATTGGGAATGTAAAAAGTTCTAATTTTGAGAAAAAAAAACGATTTACAGAATACTTAAATAAACAACAATATATTTTTTAAAAGTTATGTCCGAATGAAATTAAAATAACCTTTAATACAAAAAAAAATCAAAAAGAATTTGACAGTTTTTATTTTAGACAAAAGAATAAATAATTATGAAAAAAGTTAATTAGCATTACACAATACACAGCTATAAAAATTATGCATCAACTGTTGCAACCTGGACAACTAAAAGATGTTCTAGGTCTTAGCTCTTGGCTTTACCTTGTCAGGCCAAAAATAGATTTTTATTCCAGACATGAAGATTTTATAGCTGCAAAGTGTTCAAGTTTTAAAGTATGGACTAGATTTTTATGTAGATAGATTACATATAGAATTTTGTGTCAACATGTTGGTATTTTAGTCTATCTTAAAATAAAAAATGAACCATTTGTGAACTATGCAGATTTTTTACCAAATTAGACAATGAACACTAAGCAATTATGCTAAGAAAACAAAAAATACATAATTCGCCTGAAACTAAAAAAAAATTCTAATGCTTTTCAATTTTGACTTTAAAGCAGAATGATATTCAAATTTCTGTGATATCACACCATGTTGCAAAGATATAGCAAATAATCATTTTAAGAAAGTTAACATATGTAGATAAAAATAATAAAGAAACAGGTTTCAATATAGCAGGGTATCTTGAAGTTACCATCTGCTGTACTGTACACCACTACTCTAGTGACAGGTTTCAATATGGCAGGTCGTCTTGAAGTTGCTATCTGCAATACTGTACACCACTACTCTAGTAACAGGTTTCAATATAGCAGGGCATCTTGAAGTTACTATCTGCTATACTGTACAGTGTACACCACTACCTTCGTGACAGGTTTCAATATAGCAGGGCATCTTGAAGTTACTATCTGCTATACTGTGTCTGTACACCACTACTCTAGCGACAGGTTTCAATATAGCAGGGCATCTTGAAGTTACTATCTGCTATACTGTACACCGCTACCCCAGTAGAACACACACCACCAACAATACCTGCAGTACAGTACACAACTCAAGATTCTTAGTTTTTTAAAGGGAACGATCACAAATCTTACAGTAGGACCCAAAAATTTGTAGAATAGGAAGACGACTTTTAGACTCGAGTTATAATTTCAAATAGTCTAATGAATATAAAAAATAACAATTGTGCTTTGTACTGTATACAAACCCATTTCAATAAAAAACCTTTTTTTTCTTGGAATTACAAATAAGATACCTAACAGGCCGTTTTTCCATTTCTTTTTTTTTGGTTCTTTTTGTAAGATTTGCTCTTCCCTTTGTAAATTAAAAAAGTTACATTTGTAATTGATAGCAATTTGACTAAATTTTTATAATTTTTAGACATTTCTGACCGGCCAAAAAATAGCTTAGAAAAAGTGTCTGTTTGCATATATAGCTTTAAAAATGATAGTTGTGAATACTTTCCTACAGTTATAACAAACCAGCAGAATAATCTCTCCTTCAAGCTTATTGTTCTAAAATTGTTAAAATTAATGAATGGTTATGAAAATAAAATATTAATGATGGGGTTAACAAAATAATGAACGCACAAAAATTGTCCAAAAAATAAAGTCTTTTTCGACAAATATTATTACTTTAGTGTTTACAAAAATTTAATAATTTTGTGACCCAAAAATTTTTGTTTTAAGTAACATCACAATCATAAAACGAAAGTTTTCTTTGTCATTAATTATCTTATTTCTAAAATATTAATGATTTAGTAAAAATATTAGATATATTTTTGGTGAAAATATATTCATGTTTCACTGCATCACTACACAATGATATTTTACCAGTTAATGAAGGGTTTTGGTCAGATTCCTAAATTGTCCAGTAAAAAACAAGTGAATTTCAGATCGCAAAAAGATTCATATTGTAAAAAAAAGTTTAAACAAACAGTTTTTCAAAAAGTCATGTATCCCTCCTGCAGTCCTCCTCTTGCTGCAATAAAAAAATAGGAATTTATCCAAACTGAACTATGTAAATAAATGTATTTATGTCAGCCAAACAGGAAACCATTATTATTATAAGCAATGTTCTTGACCCCCCCCCCTCACATGACTTTGATCACCCACTAATCAACACAAGTGGATTTTAAATCAAATTTACAAAAAGATTCCAATGACTGAAAAAGTTTTAAGTTTGTTTTTCTTGCAGTCTTGCCATTGTAAAAATTGGAAGGGAACTCGAATATTATAATAACTATATCTTTGAAACCTAATGGTGTAAAAATTTTGATAGTTTAAATATTTTATTATTTGATCTAACAGGATTCATAGTTTGAAATATCTAAGGCTTACGACAATTGGTTGCGAAGATAACTAGAGTTTGCGGCAAAGACTCAATTCCTTTGTCGGAACTATATGTAGGTAAATGTTAGCAACAAATATTTCCTGACACCACTTGTCAATACTTGTCTTAAAGGAATATTGTCAAGAAAAATACAAGGAGCTTTTCCTCTGTACTTACTTACAGTTATAATCAGAAAACTCTGGAATAGGAAGTTGACTTTTGGACTCAAGTTATGACTTAGAATAGTCAATTGAACATGGGACACAGCAATTGTGTAGTGTAAACACCAATAGACCCAAATCACTTAATAACTTACTAGTAAAGCTATTTACTTTGCACTTCCTTTACTTCCTAGTCTACAGTTTTCTGGTTACCACTGTATGATTATCCTACATTTTATGATTAAGAAGAGGTGAACAATCATCTATGCTTGCTTTTCTAAAAATCAACATGTAAAGCTTTCATTAGCCATCACCATGTTAGGCTGTTAGAGGTTAGACAGTTTGGTTGTTAATATGTTAAAATCTTTATCCGCTTGTTATATGGGGAAACCGTTTTAGTAAAACTGTGGATTTAGTGCTCAACCGGTTTCTAACCCTCTTGACAGTTTAACTTTAGAGTTCAGAACTTCAGATTAACTCTTTGATTCATTCTTAATTATCTTAATGCGCTTATCCACGGATTTAACTTAAACCCAATATATAAAGTTATATACAGTGTTAATCGATGAAGCAAGCGCTATCCCAAAATAAAAGTTCCATTTTAACATATTAAGATAGTAAACCTTCACCAAACACTATTTTAAGCTGTAAAGCAAAAAAGTCACCGTAGTGGAAGTTTTATGGACTGAGGCTGGAGCTTTTGAATAGTTAATCCGCTACTAAACCACTTCTCTGTTAAGTTCTTAGAGAGCGTGAAAGACTCCCGGGTTTTTATTTTGAATTTTGTATTCTAGGTTTACATCGATTTTTACGCCATCTTTGTAATTATAAAGCAAATAGTTTTACCAACTGCTTGAAAATCAGCTTATGAAGTGAAATGAGTCTGTGTATACTGCACAATTACTTTGTTTTATGTTTACGTGACTATTTAAAATTATAATTTGAGTATTCGTGATCCTATTCCTGAAATGTTTTTTTTTCACAATATAAAATCTCAATAAAATGTTACAAAAATATAAATCATAGAAATTAAATGAAATATTAACTTTCATTCAATTATTGTTTCTCGAAAGTTGCAAACTTGTTAAAATGTTATGAATGATATTCTTTTACAGAAACCAATTTTATTATGTACTAAGGATATCCATTAGACAAAAGTTTCTTTTAATAAACTAAAATGGGAAACTAATTTTAAACTTTTTTATTGTAAACAGATTTAAAACATTTTTTCTTCTAGTTTTTACTTTTTATCAATTAATTTTCAGACAATATCAAAGTTTTGTTTGGATTAGGCACCTTTAATTATATATTTAAGAATGGAATCAAAGAACTTTAGGGAGAAATGTATAGTTGCCATGTCAGGATTATATAACGTAAAAATACCAAAATACCTTCGAGAAATGTATAGTTGCCATGTCAGGATTATATAACGTAAAAATACCAAAATACCTTCGAGAAATGTATAGTTGCCATGTCAGGATTATATAATGTAAAAATACCAAAATACCTTCGAGAAACTCAAGTTTGTCATCATTAATAAAATTACAAAGAACAGAACGTAACGGAACGGAACGGAACGATTTGGAAAAGACAAACGAGGAACAAAGGATCCAGCTGAAAGCCCTTGTTAACGAACACGGAACAAACGAAAATATAACGTGCCCATTTCTATTTTTTCCCCATAACCCCCCCCCCTCTCTCCTGTCCTGTTTAGGACGTAACCCATGCAAATTACGGCGACAATTATTTTTTAATCTAATTATAAATTCTATTGTTGATTTAATTAAGGCAACTTCTTTTCCTCCATCTTGGAGTTTGTTTTGCTTTTTACTGGTTTAATTCAAACAGATAGAAATAGACATCGTTTTGGTAAAAAAAACTAAATTTTTGAGAACGAACGAAATTTTTTCGTGAACGATGGAATGAACGGTGTACGTGTACGGATCGTTTAGAAAAAAATGAACGATCTTAATCTTTCATGAACGATTTCGTTCGTTTTTTAATGAAAGGACGAATTTTTCGCAAAATGTTGTAAAAAACGATAGTCTTTTCAATAAACAAACGATGTTTACGATACTTATATCTTTTTTAAAACGATTTTACTGAACGAACTTTTTAATTAAAAAAGTGAAAAAGGCCCCCATCTCTATCTATAAATAAATCCCAAGAAATGTATGCATTATGCAAATTCAAAACTTTTATCGCAATTTCTCAGATTCAACCGATTAAACTTTTTTTGCATCAGTCGTTGTTTGCTGATTTAACTTGAGTGTTAAGACTGAAATTACTGTTGTTTTGGGGGAACAGATTTTAAGATCAGAAATATTTTCAAATGCTGTAGACTTTACCCCTGTATGCCGAGTTCATTAGCTCCTGATCCAATCAGGGTTCAGTTATGTTTTTGTTGTCTATTCTGAACCAATAGAAATAGTATGGCGGTAACATCTATATTTCTATCTATCTCATTATCCAATTAGAGTTATGAATCCTTCAATCGGCGCTAAACAGTAAATGGAAATATTTACTTCTACTGAAACTATAGTGACTTTACGTATTGTGAACTTCGAATTCGTAGACTTGTTATGCTTTAAACTTTAAATTCTTATTCTGAAAATATTTTAATTACAGGATTTGTTGATTAAAGTTTAAATTTTCTCAACCTTATTTGGTTATTCTTATCTTTGAATCCATTATCCAACACCATCTTTTGTTATCAATCGGTGCAATATGCTTTTTTGTCCTTTACCAATTTTTTTATAGAAAATTTTAAGAAAGAAATTGAATGTTTACCAAAAGCTAAATTTTAATCGTTATATATTTGAAACCTGATGTTGTAAATTTTGTAATTTCAGTAAAAATTTGGAATCTGAATGAAATAAGTTTTATATTTAACCACCTTGTCAGTTATGTTATCTTTTAGGACAATATGTTTTCTTACCGTAATTATCTCTAATTGTTTACATTGTAAATAATTTCAAGAAACTTAAAAATAGTTATTATCAAACCAAACAAACAATATACTTTTCTACTGGAGAACACAATACAGGGTTACTTTAATAGTTATTATCAAACCAAACAAACAATATACTTTTTTACTGGAGAACACAATACAGGGTTGCTTTAATATTTTACTGCGGTGGTAAGCGATTATATCAATACAATGAAGACGACTTTCGATTTCAATTTTTATTTATATCAAGCTTTTAAATAGCATGGATATGCTTTAACATGGAAGTAAAGAGAAGCTGCCAATTAAAAAAGCTTCTCTTTGATTACTTGTAAACTTGTAAGTCAAAAACATCTTGTAAAAAATCAAGTCGTTTCATTGTATTGACATAATCGCCTACCACTGTTTAAAAAAACTACATTTAAAGTGAGGTAATTTTATGTTTCCCTCAATTAAAATCGAGGGACATGTCTGATTCACATAGGTACCCTTAGTCTCGTCGGAGGGACTATAGGACAGTGCAACATTAGAAGGGAAATATACAAATTTGTCTCTTTCTTGATGGAAAACCGATGGTATCTTGCTCATATAGCTATACTCAGATAGAGGTTTTCAGGATATCATTGTAAATCGGACATGCCAATCTTTATTTTTTAATAAAAGATCGTTTGAATTACGTTAACAGTCCCTTTAGTTGGTGAAAATGATGTCTACATAACAGAAGTATTGCATTTTTTAAATGTTTAACGCATGGGACCTCTAAGTAATTGAACACTGACCACAAATTCCAATGTTCTAACCCTTATATATTTGCAATCCGGTGTAATAGTCTATAGACCGTTAATAATAATATATAAACAATGAAATCTTTTAAATTAAACAGATTACAATTATAATATCAAAGGTTTACATTATCCAGTCGCAAACATATCCGGATCAGAACATGCGAGTTTTCTGTTCCTTATCTGTAATTTATTACTTTATCTACAATGGTAATTATAAAACTGTGTAATGGGAGTCGACATATAAGAAATAATTAAGAGTTTTCAGTTTTCAGAGTTTTCTGGTTCTCTCTGTGGTTTATCCTAACAAACTAACTTGTTACCTCTGTTCCCAATCTGAGCTCTGGTTCGACATATCTACCAGGCGCATATAGAAGAAGGGCGGGAACACAAAGGTAAGGAGGGTGACTGTAGACCCGCCCACCAGGTCTAGGATGGAACCAAAGTCAGGCAATGACTCAGCAATGAAGAGAAGACCAACAATGACAAAAGAACGGAAAACAACTCTCTTCCAAGTAAAATCTGAAGCAAAAAATTTAAATTATTTGATTTTTTTAGTTGTCAGGCTCAGATTTAACAATACACGCTTTTTCTAAAGTTTATAGATAGAGAAATAAATCATCTTTTGTAAATGTTTCTCACATTAAAAGCTATTTTGAATCTAAAAATCATTGTTAATAATAAATAAGGGGTGTTGAATTAGATTTGAATTTATATAAGTTTTGATGAATATACTTTTTACGGAATCCCCTGTGTCCGAATTTAATGAAATTAAGCCGCGGCTTAAATTCTTTAAATTCAGCCTCAGAACTTTTAAAATAATAAATTATGCGGTCTAAACCCGGGGTGTTAGAAGAAAAAATTTAGAAAACATACTTTTATAGAAAATATCATTTGATAAACTGGGTTGGCGGATTTGGATTTTATTTAACAAACATACTTTTTTAGAATTTCCAGCACTTCTATTATGAACCATGGTTTCGAGGAAAAGATTATGTTTACAAATATTAAGGGAAAACGTACTTTACAGAATTGTGATACTAATTTCATTTTGATCGGCTAAAAATTAAGCTTCTTTGTGAAGTGTTTTTTTTAACACCCTTTAGTTTGAAGGAAAAGGTTTAAATTTAGATTTGTTAAAAAAACATACTTTTGGGAATTCCCAGAACTCCCTCTATAAACTGATTTGGTGGATTCACAACAATTGGGAATGCAGAAATCAAGTGCGCCAGCAGCAAACATTCAACTGCTATCTTCACCTAAGTAAAAATGTTATTCAAAAATTCATTTATTCTTTTAAAAAGCAAGATATGCAAATACATTATACAAATGTATCATTTTTTATATGTATATTGTGCAGTTCAACCCAGAAATTCGGAAACACCGAAAAAGTTTATAAAATATCGTCTTGACAATTTTGCTCTGGGTAATATACGCTTATACATATATCTCAGTAATGGAAGAATTATAAAGAAATGGACATGAAATATACCATACATGAACCTGAAATATACTATATAATTATACTTTATTAGAAGGTTAAGAAAATGACATTTTTTTAAATTCTTTCCATGTCTCAGAAATTGCATGGGCTAAACTGTTCGTAAACTCAAACCGGCAAAACCGTACTCTTGGAGAGGTTTGAACAATAAGAAAAAAATAGCAGTTGCAATAATTAACCATCGAATAAGCTGTTCCAACGCTGGATGTTGTTTTTATCAAAGTATTAGAAAATCATACAAACAATGATATTTAAGTAAACAGAAGGTTCTTCCACTAAAGGAAAAACAGAAAGGGGGGCCACCAAAGAATGAGACTTAGTGACCTAAAACTCGTAAACTCCGGCAATCTGAATATTTTTTATTATATATTTTATCGAATTATTTTTGATGAACTTACATTTCCATTACACATAGAGTCAACAATATTTCCTTTAACAGCATCTCCCAACTCAAAATATCCAACTGCAGCCATAGGAGCATAGATACACAATAGTACTAAACATAGTAGCATAGATACATAGTAGTACTAAACATAGTAGCATAGATACATAGTAGTACTAAACATAGGAGCATAGATACACAGTAGTACTAAACATAGAAGCATAGATACACAGTAGTACTAAGCATAGGAGCATAGATACATTGTAGTACTAAACATATAGGAGCATAGATACACAGCAGTACTAAATATAGGAGCATAGATACACACTAGTACTAAACATAGGAGCATAGATACACAGTAGTAATAAACATAGGAACATAGATACACAGTAGTACTAAACATAGGAACATAGATACACAGTAGTACTAACATAGGAGAATATATACACAGAAGTACTAAACATAGGAGCATAGATACACGGTAGTACTAACATGGGAGCATATTTACACAGTAGTACTAAACATAGGAGAATATATACACAGTAGTACTAAACATAGGAGCATAGATACACAGTAGTACTAAACATGGGAGCATAAATACACAGTAGTACTAAACATAGGAGCATAGATACATAGTAGTACTAAACATAGGAGCATATATACAGAGTAGTACTAAACATAAAAGCATAGATACATAGTAGTACTAAACATAGGGGTATAGATACATAGTAGTACTAAACATAGGAGCATAGATGCATAGTAGTACTATACATAGGAGCAGAAATATACACAGTAGTACTAAACATAGGAGCATAGATACATAGTAGTACTAAACATAGGAGCATAGATACACAGTAGTACTAAACATAGGAGCATAGATACACAGTAGTACTAAACATAGGAGCATAGATACACAGTAGTACTAAACATAGAAGCATAGATACCCAGTATTACTAAACATAGGAGCATAGATACACTGCAGTACTTAACATGAAAGCATATAGTACAGTATAGTACGTATTTAACATAGAATTGATATTAGGTACAAAATCAAATACAATATAAAAAAGGATCAAATGTGTTATGAACATTTCAAAATGAACTTTGGCTTACTTGTATCTTAAAGATAAAAAATAAAATTCGTATAATGCTGGTCATGCCCATTTTCTTAATTTGGCATTTAATTTTAAAATTAGAAAAATTACAGACCAAACTTAGGAAAACACCAAACTTGGATTTTCGCTAGTAATTTTTTGAACTGAAAGATTACTGTAATTCCCATGTTTTGGGACACCCTGTACATAAGACTTAGAGATAAAACCGGATAAGCAGTACTATTGACCTCCTTAAATTTAATATATTTATTCCAGGAGCGTATACAGGAATTTTTTCAGGGGAGGGGAGCATGATTAAATTTTGTTTTCCAGGGTGAGAGGGTGGGGATGGCTCACCACCGTTTGGGATCTGAAACCCTTCTATAAACCATGGATTTTAGTTTTTATTGACAAATGTTGTATTCCCTACCTCCCATTGCAATTGATACACAAATAGAGAACTGTCTTCTATCCTTCATATCTGACTGTATAGTTGGGAAGTTAGGAGCCCCGGCAAAAGCAAACATGGTGGTGCTGAACGCTGAAAATATAAAATTTAATTTATATCTTGATAAATTCCATAAAGCAGAGTGTGAGTAAATGTCATATCTATATATAAATTTGGCTTGTCTGTTTGTCTGTCTGTTTGTCTGTTTGTTTGTTTGTTTGTTTGTATCCAATAAACGTCAAAACGGCTGAACCGATCGGGCCCAAATTTGTTGTGGGACATCTAGGGACTCCAGGGAAGGTTTATGAATCATCAAAATTTCAAATATTTGTCTCCATCAAAATTCGATCGTCATTAAATTTTTTAAAATTTTGAAAATCCGCGAAATTTTTTGTGAAAATCCGCGAATTATTTTTGTTTTGTTTTACGATGTACACAAAGAGAACATGTTCACAATTAATTTAGGAGATGGGCGCGAAGCGCCCTCTAAGGCTAGAAAGAAGGGCGCGAAGCGCCTTGAATTTCTAGTAATATAAAGAAGACATAAACTCTGAAGGTTTATATCGTTCATCAACATGTTTCCCACATGGGGGTAAAGTACATATAATATAAAGAAGACATAAACTCTGAAGGTTTATATCGTTCATCAACATGTTTCCCACATGGGGGTAAAGTACATATAATATAAAGAAGACATAAACTCTGAAGGTTTATATCGTTCATCAACATGTTTCCCACATGGGGGTAAAGTACATATAATATAAAGAAGACATAAACTCTGAAGGTTTATAACGTTCATCAAAATGTTTCCCACATGGGGGTGAAGTACAAGTATCCAGTGTAAGTACGGAGAGTACGGACGGACTTTGTAGAATTCAAGGTTGTAATGCAAGGAAAGTTAACTGCTATCGCGTTTACTCTGCGTACATATTGAAAACATTTCTCTCTGGGCGGAATGTGTGAACAAGAATAGATGCATCAGTGTTCGTTTAGTATCCGAGGAGGTTAAAAGCATTAAATTTTGATAATTTTGATAATTCACATAATAGTTTCCTATGACCAGAATATTTATTGATTTTTTTATGTGAAAGATATGGATCCCATGTAAGGCTTCGACATCCGTCTTGTGTTTACATTACCGCCCTGTGACAGTACACTGCAGTACAAAAGATGCGTACACTTCTGAAATAACTTTCCTTGCATTACATCCTTTGTAGAATTGAACCTAATTCAAATTCTGCAAAGGCTGGGAAAGCACCTGTTCTCGTCCACAATTGACATCACAAAGTCAAAATGAACCCATATTTATAGTCATGAAGTCTCCTGAATTTCGACAAAACATTTTTTACCGAGTAAAAAAATAGATTAAAAAAAAACGGAAAAATGTCGGACGAAAAAATGGTGCAGTCTTTAAAAAAATAGTTGAGTTGCTGAAGAGTCAAATTTGTTTTTGGTCGAAAAATGGTTGCAAAAATACCTTAAATGCAGGAAATATTTGAATGGGTGGGNAAAGTTTAACATTAAAAGGAAAGAAATCCTCCTACAAAATCCCTGATTTCGCCTTAATCAGATTAATAATCTTACCTCTAGCAATGCCAAGGAAATTAGGAGTTGAATGCTCTCCTATAAGCGTTGTATTTAAATCTGGAATTTCTAAAAAAATATATGTTATGAATTTTAAAATAGAAAAATCTAGAAAATTTTCTGCTTCATCGCGCTGAGATAAGGTTAAAAAGGTATCGTAGCACTCTAAGAACTAGACAACAGGAGAAGATAAAATGTATGAGACAACACTGTTACAACTTTGTGACCTCGTAGCACCTCTAATTTATAATTTGATGCACAAGTATTTATTCGGTTACATTTTAGAAATTCAAAACATCTTTCTTCTCAAGAACTCTGAAGAGTTAAGATCGAAAACACACAGCATTTAAATCTGACGTACAATTCACTTTATTTTGACGTAGCTTACTTATTTGATTCTCAATGGCACTCTTAAAATCATACCTTTGAGACAATGGTCTGGATCCACAACATCCATTGGTAATCTTACCATCACCAGGACACAGGCAACTACTGTTGTAATCAGAGCTCCTATTGCCAACGGCCTGGAGATATAAATATTTTACTGAATATTTCTAGAGACTGATAAAAAAGTTCGTACCAGAAGTCATTTGGCGTTCCAAGCCAGCACGGTGGGATCATAACTGCAGCCACGATGACCATCCAAATTCCAAAGTTTAGCTAAAGATATAAATAAAGAATTAAGAAACTTCTGCGCAAATTGTTTTCCCTTAAATCTAGTAAAAAGTTCTACTGGGTAAAGAATTTCAAATTTGAGAATGAAAATTTACTCTTCCCGAGAACTACTAATGCAAGGTTTCTTATGGAAATAAAACCTCACTTTTACAGATTCTTCTTTCTAACATTATTTAAAATAAAAACTACCTCTAAATTGTATTCATCAAATATATTTTTGATAAAAGAAGCTATCAGCACTATAAAAACACATCCAGCCCCGTACAGGCATAAGTTTATACATGTTATTGCAGCAAACCTAGAAAATTAACAATTTTTTACATTATTGATTGTCAACTGTAAACATACAGAGCTTCCCAGAAAAAATATGACTTTACTAACAATTCTACATAATTTATGGCCTTTTTGTTTTTTCATCTTTGGTCCCCGGCAGTTATAAAGTTATTTCTTTCCTTACCATCTGGGCAGACTCAATATTCAAATTCTCATCATTTGGTGGAGACCCTGTATGTATAAGTACCAATAAAATGTATTTTATTAGACTTTACTCCAAATTTTATGTTAAAAATTAAAAATGTTACGGGGCATCGGAACTTTGCAAAACTGGTTTTTCTCACCTGCCAATTTTTCCCGCTGCTTTCTCAGCAATAGAGGGGTACGGGTCTCTGACTTGTCCTCTATACTCTGGATAGCGTTCCTCTAGGATGACCCAGCACTGGCCTAGCTTGATACCGACAAATGCTGATGTAGCAGCGAAGAACACAAGCATAGCAAGCTCAGCAGGACCTGCAGGAAAAACTAGGCTTAAATATATGTTACTTTACGTTAAATGTAATGTAACATAATAACGTTACATTAAACGTTAATGTGGGTACGTCTGTATGTTACTGTAACGTAAAATAGTGACGTTAATTAATGTTAATGAGTCCTAAAAGGAACGTTATCTAACGTTCTGAGAACGTTATTTGGCTTATTGCAGGTTGCAACAAGAAGATCAAAAAAGAATCTTTAAATTGTAAAATGGTATAATCAGCAAGTAGATAATTTGTTTAAAGCATTTTTTGTGAATATTATTTTGTATTTATGCACTTTAAAGAAAAATTCATGTCCGAACAACTTTACAAGGCCACCCAATCTTCCGTAATAGGGAAAGAAGCAAAAAGAAATTTCAATTTTCAAAGGAATTGAGTCTTTGACACAAATTCTGATTTTCTAATTCCTATATCTCTGCAACCCAATGTCGTAGACCTTAGATATTTCAAACTATCAATTCTGTTACCTCAAATTATCTTAGTTTGAAATATCAAAAGTCTTCAACATCAGGTTCCATAGATATAGGGATTAGAAAATTTGAGTTTGTGGCAAAAACTCAATTCCTTTGTAATCCAAACCAGAAATATGCTCCGGATGGGTAGGATAGTAGAATTGTTAATCGTTTTAAAAACGATCAAAAATACGATAGTTTTTGTTCTTTGTGTTAAGAAAAAGGAAAGGTAAAAACTAACTAATTGTTCGTTCTGAACCTTTAAAAAACGAAACAACGATATTGAAAAAAATGTCGTTTTTGTATTTGTTTCCTTTAGTAAAGTAAGTGAGTCTTTGCCACAAACTGAACTTTTCTAATCCCAATATCTTTGGAACCTGATGGTGTAAACCTCTATTATTTGAAACTTTGATTATTTGATCTGACAGAATTTATAGTTTAAAAAGATCTTCAACATTGAATTGCAAACATAAAGGAATTTAAAAATTAGAGTTTGTGGCAAAGAATAAATTCATTTGAATTTTTAAAAATTTTATTTGGAAATATTTCTACACTGAGGGAAGTTCATTAATGCTTTCTTGCATATGTGAGTATAACATTTGTGACCATTGACAAAATTTTAAAGAAAATAACATTTAAAATTTTCTTTAAATATGAGAATTTTTTAAAAGAAGTTTGTAGTTAATGATCGTTCATAAGTTTCTTTACCCTGTTCTAAGTTTTTTGCATATTATTTGAAATGGTTTCAATATTTATACATTTAGCGAAAACTTCAAGTCTTTATTCTAAAATACGCACACAAAAAATGTAAAAGTTAACTTTAAAGCTTAAACTAATGATAAAAAAAAGTTTGTCGATTATGATCGTTCATACGTTCATTTCCCCAGTTTTAAGTTATTTTCATATTTTATTTTATGGTTTCAATATTTGTGAATTTATACATTTAGCGAAAGCTTCAAGTCTTTATTCTAAAATACCCACACATTAATTGCAAAAGTATTTCATGGCTTATGTTGTGTTTTGGAACAAACTGATTTTGAGGCGTTTATTCAGATTTATGCATTTACACACTAATGTAAAATCTAGATTTTTTTATCTGATGAAACATGTTTTCATGATTTTCAATGTTTTTTTTATCTGATGAAACATGTTTTCATGATTTTCAATATGTTTTTTATCTGATGAAACATGTTTTCATGATTTTCAATGTTTTTTTATCTGATGAAACATGTTTTCATGATTTTCAATGTTTTTTTTATCATTTAATATCTTTCTCATCAAAGTCATTTATAGTCCAGAGTCTAAAACTAAAGAATGCGCGAATTTTAAGTTCGAGGTTAAAAGTTCTGTAAAATAATGAAAAGCTATTTAAATATTAAACTTTCTCAATTTTAAATTTGAATTTCCCGGGAAAATCTGAACCAATCAGAGAAAAGGATTTACGGAGAATATTACATAACCATCGCTAATCAGCTGTTTTTACGTAACTGAAAACAAAACATACAACCGATTTTTGGGTTTACATCCAGAAATTAATTTATCTAAAACGTGAAATTTCTTTAACAAGGTTTTCACTTTTAAATGTATCGTAAAGTTGAATGCCGTTTTCTCAGCTGCAGCTGAATGATGATTGAATAATAGACAAATAGGGAAAATGCAGGATTTCAAGATAATTTAAACCTGTGTTTAAATTTTAACTCGTCGATTTGGGCGAGTTAAATATTTAACCAGAGGGTTAAATATTTAACCTCACGGTTAAAGTTCAGGTTTAAATTAAGTCAGAAGTGGTATTTAACCATGAACTTAAAATTTAAGTCAAAACTTTTCGTTCTTTAGTTTTAGACTCAGTTCTCAGATATTGATGTTAAATGTTTATGTTGAGTTGGTTCGGTTTTCTTTCAGGTTTAATAGTTTGCGTACTGTAAAAGTAGCCAATGTTTTCAACATTTTTTATGCTAAACATTTGCCTTCGTTTTTACTATGCAAAATTTTGACCCAAAAAACGATCGTTTTTTCATTTTTTCATTAAGATATTGCAAATTCTAATACAATCTTTTTGAAATCTTGGAATTTTTATTGATTTTTTTTCTAAAAATGATCTTATAACACTTTTTATGTACAAACCTGTTCCCACCATTGCCATAGGAAGGGCCAGTACACCCGAGCCTGCCATGGTACCAGCCAGGAAGAAGGTTGCGGTGAGAAGACCCAACCCGTCCTCCTTGATCAGCTTGTCTTCTACCTCCACCATTTTCTACAGAAGCGGTTTAAGATTAGATCACAAGAAGCTAAACCTCAGTTTTAAAATCAAAATAAAGATGATAACTTTTGATGGTGAAAGAGCTGAGTTTCATAGCTGATATAGACAGTAGTCATGTACTGATTCTACTGAAAACAGTCAATTTAGAATTAAAATTATAATGATTGATAAGGACACAATAAAGCTTTTGATGAAGAAAGATAGTGCACTAAACATTATTGTACAATCTATTCAACTAAGATATATAATCTCTCATCTGGAGAAAATTCTACAATAAAAAAATTAAAAGCTTATTTTTAACTGAAGTTAACATTTTGAGTTTAAAAGCTAAGATTGCTAGCCCTGTAATAAATCATTATTTTGTTATTTTATTATATATTATTATTTGAGAAAAGAATTTATATTTTGATTTCTTCAAGGTTGAAAATGTTTAAACCGAGAAAATGAGATTTAAGTTTTTCTATTTTGTTTAAAAGATTCCAGCTGAGCAAAATTTCATTTGTCTAAAGAATTTGAAATTTGAAAGCAAAATTTTTGATTTGAGGAGGAAGAAAAGATATTTAGTTTATATTGAGATATATGTTTTTATTGTACTTCAATTTTGATTGTTTTTTTATTTATAAATATTAAACGTGATATCGGCGGAACTAATGGGTTCGTCCTAGTATACGTTTTTTGGACTCATCAACTCATCTATTTCTCATCCCTATATCTTTGCAACCCGATGTTGTTGACCTAACTTTAGATATTTCAAACTATGAATTCTGTTAAATCAAATTATCTAATTAGAAATATCAAAGGTTTACTTTACACCAAACATATAGCAATAAATTGCAATCAAATTAATATATTTCGCATTATTTTTTATTGTTGCTAATGATTATAGGCCATTTGATAGAGGACCTGTTTATGGTTTAGTTATTAAAGAATATCTTAAGTACAAAATATAATTTGCAGTCAAGATTTAGATAAATTTCAATTCAAAATGAAAATTGTACTTTTTGAAATCAACTTTATTTGCCCTATTGCAAAAACAGAAAATAAATTAATTTTACACGAACATGATGATATCTAATCTTTACCTTTGTCCGAAATTAATGAATTTGAGCCGCGTCTCAAATCCGGTTTCAATTGAGCACCGGCTTAAATCATGAAACATTAAATACAATTTTAAGTTGAACCAACCATTTATGAGCCGTGTCTCAAATTTAAGCCGCGGCTCAAATTCTTTAACTTCGGCCTCTTGACATCTTTCCACCGAGCACAACATGGAGTTTTTATTAAAGGGAAAAGAGGTGTTTTTATTGTTTGCAAGAATTTCCGATCAAAACATAAAATTGCTTTTAAAATCCCCTATAATATTACCCTTGTATAAAACAACAGTAAAATGATATCTCTAAAATTGTGGTATTTTTGTAAAAATCTTTTCAATTGTTTTGTAAAAACAAAGCAGTAAACAAATAAATGAATTACGCCATATTTTATCAATGATAGGTTTGAAGGGTAAGCTTTTGCATTGTTTAAGGCACTCTTATATCACCTACATTAGTGAGTTTATTTAGAAATTCCTTTTTTTTACAACCATAACATGAGTTATGAGATCTAATTGCCATAGTTTATTATCTTACCACAAACTTTCGGTCAAAAGACATTTAACCTTTTTTAAAATCAAAAACAAACTTAAATAAAATATCAAATATTTATATAACATATTGTGTGAAAAAAAAAACATTATAATCCCTTAAACTAAACAATTTCAATGATCAAACTTCAGAGGCTCATGGAGCCTCTGTAAAATATAATTTACATGTGTACTGCTACAAGTGTGAGACCAGACTATTCAATGAAAATATTATTAGAAATGATATTCGTTATCTAGTCAGTGTATCATTTTTTTGCAAGGGGGGGGGGTCCTTAAATACGTACACAATATGCTATGGGTTTATTAATAGACTTTTTAAGAAATTGAAAATTTTAGTTTTTCTCTTGATGATCTTTTACAGTAAGAGAGTAAATTACGAAAACAAATGTTTGTAATTTAGGTATTAATTCGGAGATTAGCTATTGTGAACAAAAATTCGAACAGCCTAAGCTCCCCTCCCCCCACAATTTGAAAAATATCTACATTATCTAACGTATTGTCTTGGTTTGTCGATCTGCTTGTTAGTTTGTAGCAAATCACATATGGCCCTGCAGAAGGTTTATGTCTGGTCGAAACGAATCTTAATTTTTTTTAAATCTATCAAAGCTAACGAAAAAATCTGCGAAATTTCGCGTTCATACAATTATAAAGAAAAAGCGGAGGCCTAAAAAGCAACATTTAAACGATAAAAATAATAGAAGAGAGCACCGTAAAAGCTTAGTTTCTGTAGAATTCAGTCCAACGAAGTAGTTTCTTCAATGTACTTCTTTAGCTCGCAGATTACAGCTTATCTATCTAATTGCTCTTATCTTGTAAATACCAGAAATTGAAAATTAATGGATGCACTTTCATCATTTCAATAAAATACAAACAAAAATTTAAAACGTAGTTTAACATTGTTTAATCATTAAACAAGAACTGTCATAAAATTGATTTATTATGAAAATCGATCGATTTTGATGATTAACTGCCTAAAACAATTCAATAACACAAAAGACTTTATAGTAACACTTTTTAGGTTTTATTGTATTTCCAAGCTCCCATTTTTTCATCGTTATCCATTAAACAAAACTTTTCCGTGGATTTTCAGAAATCGTAAATATTGAAATTTTTCCTATGACACATTTTTTTAAGAAACCTCCTCTAGAACCATTTCAGTTGCCACAAAAAATTTAGGACGAGTTGGTTCAGACATTTTGATGTTTAATGGATATGAAATAGGCAGACAGACATGCAGACAAGCCAAATAAGATCATGCATCATAATATTAAAAAGAAATTATATACAGGGTAACCCACAAAGGAAGATACTGAAAAGACTACATGAAACGCAAAAAATATGATGCTTACTTGGTTAAACAAAGGTTTCTGCTTTGACTATTATTGGCCTATTTATTGACAAGGGAAAGACGGTAACCAGTTTAGAGTTACATAGATTCCTAAATTTATGGAAATAGACAGTACGAATTCTGTATAATCGTCTTTGAAGTCTCATCATTTGTGGGTAACCCTGTATATATGAAAACACTACTGTTGAATGTGCTGATGCTATAAAGTCCTAATTTTTTATTCTTATTATTTTTCAACTACAAAAACTTTCCAATCTTCTGGTTGGAAAAAAACTCTTATCTATCAAGTTCAAAGGAAAAAAGTGAACACAAAAGCTTTAAACTCAAATTGTCTAATCCCTTGATTTTTGTAACCTGAGTTTATGTACCTTTGATACTTCAATCTTTGACTAATGGATTTAATTCATAGTTTTTTTTTGTTAAATCTGTTTACTTATTTATGTTTAAAGTTTTGAAATCCTTATTTTTCTTTCAAAATTTTTAAATTGTTTGTTGCATTGTGTGCACAGTTTTAGTAGAATATTGTTTTGTAAAAACTTCAATTGTTTAAACAACATCAATTGACGAATTGAGATTATACTATGAAATGGAAAAATTACTATCCCTCGGTATAAAGTAACTGAGTTTTTGTCACGAATTAAAATTTTTAAACTCCTCTTTTCAACCCAAATGGTGTAAACCTTTGATATTTCAAACTTAGATTATTCGGTTTAACAGAATTCATAGTTCGAAATGAATGTAAAGTAAAGAGAATGTAAAGTAAAGTTTATATGCTGAAATGAATGAAAAGTAAAGAAAATGTAAAGTAAAGTTTATGCTGAAATGAATGTAAAGTAAAGAGAATGTAAAGTAAAGCTTATAATGAAATGAATGTAAAGTAAAGGGAATATAAAGTAAAGCTTATGATGAAATGAATGTAAAATAAAGGGAAATGTAAAGTAAAGCTTATGATGAAATGAATGTAAAGTAAAGGGAATGTAAAGTAAAGCTTATGATGAAATTAATGTAAAATAAAGGGAAATGTAAAGTAAAGCTTATAATGAAATGAATGTAAAATAAAGGGAATGTAAAGTAAAGCTTATGATGAAATGAATGTAAAATAAAGGGAATGTAAAGTAAAGATTATGATGAAATGAATGTAAAATAAAGGGAATGTAAACTAAAGCTTATGCAGATGAAAAGAATGTAAAATAAAGAGAATGTAAAGTAAAGTTTATGCTGAAATGAATATAAAATAAAGAGAATGTAAAGTAAAGAGAATGTACAGTAAAGCTTATGATGAAATGAATGTAAAGTAAAGGGAATGTAAAGTAAAGCTTATGATGAAATGAATGTAAAATAAAGGGAATGTAAAGTAAAGCTTACGATGAAATAAATGTAAAGTAAAGGGAATGTAAAGTAAAGCTTATGATTAAATGAATGTAAAATAAAGGGAAATGTAAAGTAAAGCTTATAATGAAATGAATGTAAAATAAAGGGAATGTAAAGTAAAGCTTATGATGAAATGAATGTAAAATAAAGGGAATGTAAACTAAAGCTTATGATGAAAAGAATGTAAAATAAAGAGAATGTAAAGTAAAGCTTTTGATGAAACGAACTCAAGAATGCATGAAAGAATTGTCAGAAATTTAATTTAGAGAAAATCAAATAATTTTTAAGGCACAAATGTGGGAAGTACACCTTCAGAATAAAATAGTCAGCAAAATGGTGGTTTTACACTTTTTGCGATTTAATTATACTCTATACTTATTTATTCTCTCTGTGCATAATGCATATTGTTGAATTAATGCATGAATTTTGCAATGCCAATAATTGTTTCTGTGTTCTGAGTATTCTCTGTGTATGTGTAAATTTAATGTGTTATGAAAGCCATTAAAATCTTTGTTTTTAATATCACGATAAAAAATTCTGATTTTATTGCTAACTCATTGAATCTTTAAAACCTCCACAGTTAAGAAACAAAAGAATTACGCAGATTTTTGCCACAGCTGTTTTATAGGGAGGGAGCTTATCCAGAGGCGTACCGCGTACTAAAGGTGGGGTGGGTGGGGAGACTAAAATGGGTTCTTTGCCATTAACCCCTCCCTCCACCTTTTAAAACTATTTTTTTGAATACTTTCTACAATTTTCTAATATAAAAGATTTTAAAAGTGGTTTAAGGGAGTATCTGTTTATGTACAAATATAGTTGAACCATGAGTATGCAGTATTTAGGACAAATTCTTTAAGATTCATTTGAGACATATAAAACGTTTCCATACGATGTATAATTTTAATAAAAATCCTTATCTTACTAACACTCTTTTCACCTTCCACCCCTAGCTGGTCATGGTTATGACATAAGAAATTCCAGGGGGGGGGACAATTAGGCGCACAATAATTCAATTATACCCCCTCCCTGGAAAATATGAAAAGTCGCCCCTGTGAATATCTATATGTTTGTATTCAATCCTTGCCAATTTCACATTTATTTGTCTACTAAAAAGAAACACTTATTTATTAAAAATGTTTAAATTTTAACTCAAAGCTATTTCTTACATTAATTTGTATTGCTTTTCTATTTCTAAACTTTGTCATTTGTTACAAATGACATTTGTTATATTAAACATCTAAAATAATAAAAAAAAGATCGTTTTTTTTCGTTTTCGTTTTTTCTTCACACGATCTTTATAAAAAAAAATATGGGTCACAACTCAAAACAAACGATCAATGATAAAATCGTTTTATTGAAAAAACAATCATTTAAAAAAATATTGTTAATTAATATGAGTTTTTTGACAAATTATTCAAATTTATTTTTTATTGTTGGTTAAATAAGCGTAACGTTTTTTTTTGACATTTAATTTCATTTTTGAGAGAATGTTTTCTGACATGATTTTTTTTTGAGGAATGACCTTAACGTTTTCTGACCTAAGTTTTTTTCTTAATTCTGACAAAAGATTTATTTTAACAATATACAAGGTGTCCCACGAAACATGACAGTATGCAAGACGACTTGAATATTGTCTTGATTTTTGATATAATTTGTTATTTGTCAACCTAATTTTAGAAGTAAATTTCTAGAGATAATAATCACAAAATTCCCCTAGTCCTGCCATTTTTAAAATGTGGTCTGCATTTTTTTTGTGCTTTCAATATTGCCCGAGATATGAACAATTTCGTTCAGATTTCGACAATTTTGCTTTTATTTTACAAAATTGAAATCTGAACCAAACTCTATATATCTCCGGTAATATTGAAAGCACAAAAAACGCAGACCTGCACTTTTTGGAAATGCCAGGGCTAGGAGAATTATGTGATAATTGTTTCAAGAATCATACATGTTAAAGTAGATAGAAGACTAAATGTCACAAATAAATTCAAATATCAAAGACGACTTTCAAGTCGTCTTGCTATTGTCATGTTTCGTGGGAAACCCTGTAGATTAACTCGATCTCTGGAATGCCAAAAGAAAAAATCATAAATATGTTGATACCCCCCCCCCCTTAGTTATAAAACGTTCTTTATTTCAAACAAATGTCCCCATCCAGCAAGATTTTAATAAGCCCCTTGATTTCTAAGAACGAGATATACTGAGTACGGAGAGTACGAAATGGCTGTGGCCGAAGAAAGCAATTAAGTGTACACATGTACACTTTGGTAGAGAAAGAACATTTTTCATTGGACTTGGTATAACGCCAGAAATCAGAATCTTGCTGGTTTTTGCTTACTGGAAGTTCATACATAACCTTGCCAATGAGGAATTTGTGAAAATTGCCAGAGTTAGTTAGATTTACAATTTACACTCAGCTGATAATTATTGCTAGGACAGTTTAGGGGGGCCGGGCGCTTCGGCCTGGCCTTAAAGCATATTTTGACCACGGTACTTTGGTATAGTGTTTAGTTAAAAAGGGGGTGGGGGTTCAAAAATCCTTTATCTTATAAATATCCAGTAGATGTGGAATTGTGGGGCCTAAAATATCGTTCTCTAGGAAATTACCGTTCCTCAGTTTTTATCCTAAATATCTTTCTTTAGGATAAACCTTTCCATGTAACGATTTAATAATTCAATACAAAAATTAATTCATTATCAGAAAATGCTCACAGGCCCCGAAGATCATTTTTATGCGTATTTACATTTTATCAACGAATCAAGACAAACGCACTTTAAGAATATTATTAGAATACCCCACTGCACTGTTGAGAACAACTATGAAATCAGTTTACCCATTCTTACTGAATTATGCATTCAAATGAAAACATGCATGAATGCATTTGATGCATCGATGAGGGACGTACACAATGATTTGTTTAGAGGCGAGGGTGGGGGAACTACTTTTTTGACATTCCAGGAAGGAGGGTGGGGTAGGGGGGTGAGCTCTGCCATTAACCCCTCCCTCCACCTTTTAAAACTATTTTTTTGAATACTTTCTACAATTTTCTAATATAAAAGATTTTAAAAGTGGTTTAAGGGAGTATCTGTTTATGTACAAATATAGTTGAACCATGAGTATGCAGTATTTAGGACAAATTCTTTAAGATTCATTTNTTGAACGCTTCTGACATTAATGCATAAAAATCCGAATGTATTACTGAAACATGTAGAATAATTGATTTTATCCTCAACTGACTTGATAGTGACAAATCTACAGCTGGAATTTTGATGTTTACAATTTTGTAGACAGTCAAAATGTTCAAAAAACATAATGTAAAAAATTTACAAAAACTTTATTTTTTCTGTGCGTAAGTTGAAAAGCAACTAAGCGGATAATTTTTTTGAATAACATTTTTTCGTTCCTTATACAATATACATCAAAGCTGACAGAATGCTAGAACAATCCTAACAAATTCAAATTCTAACTTTTGTTTATTTTCCGCACCAAGTGACCTCCAATAATGTAATGTACTTTTTAAAAGGGTAATGGTTTGTCGAGAAAATATACACCCCTGTATTAATATTTGCACACAAAGCCAAAATTTATAGACATGAAAATGTATAGTGATTTTCTTTCGCAAGTTTAAAGCTTTTTTTTTAATAATCAATTTTATACTAAATTAATTTAAGATATTTTCAGATCATGGAGGAGAAACCATTCCAAGGGTTTGGTCCCGGAGTAGATCTAGATTTCAAATTATTTTCATCAGAGGTAGATTTAGTTTTAAAGGGATTGTTGGCCTCATTTCAAGTGATCCTTTAATTAAGGAGAGGGAACAATCGGATTCAAGACAGATAACCTTTTTTCTTTATCGGGTCAGCTTAAACATATGGCCGTTTTTCCAGATTATTAAGTGATTAATTGTCACAATTTTATCCATTTACNGGGGGGGGCATAAGTCGTATTACATTCTGGCCGGTGCACTAGTAGCCTACCCTTACGATATAGGTCATCTTACAACAGATTTTGCATTTAGAATGTCGATTTATAGGTAATTGGGCACAAGGATTTCAATTTTTGGGTAAAAACTTTAGCAAGACCATTCTGTAATTGGAGGGCTACTTGAAGTCCCTTACAGTCCCTATAAAAGAGCACTACCGCAGATCACAACATAAAATTATAATCCAACCTAAATGAATAACAGCTGAACGTTAAATCATTATTACCACTAGTAAAGTTTTGCGGTGTAACCATTTAAACTGCTAAATGAATACTACAAATTTTGAGCTTGTTTTGAAATGCATATCTGTCTGAAATATTATACTTTCTTACTTTCACGCTTATAATCCTACCCAACAAATGTGAAAGTAACAATAATGCATCTGAAATCTGAATAATTTTTCATATTTCAAATTTGAATTAGTGTTTTTTTTTATTTCTTGTAAAAGTTTTCAAATGGTTTTGACCACTACACTACTCACTTTCATGATAGGTAATCTTATGAACTGAACAGTTTTAATTTTCCTCTTTTTCAACTGACTGTAAAGAGGTTTGTGCAAGGTCAATCAATGATATGCAAGGTTTATTCATGCGAAATACTGCTGACAAACAGTCTGTATGATTTGTTTTATAGACAAGGACTTTGGATTTAAGAGTGTTTTATATAAAAATCATTTTTTTTGGAGGGGGGGGGGGCACTTTTACTAAGCGTTATGGAAATATTTTCCCTCGATTGTCTGTTTGTCTGTCTGTATCCAATTAACGTAAAAACGACAGAACACGTAAAAACGACAGAACAATCAACTCACATGACCTTAGGGATGGGTAATAGACCGTCAAATATGGACAATTTCGATATTAGTTATTTTAAAAAATTTAGGCAGAAAAGTCTGCGAAAATGTGAGAATGATTAAAAAAGGCAAATTTCAGAGCAACAGTTAAAAGCTAAAATTTTTAATAGCAAGGGAGTGCCCTTAAAGCATGATACTGTTTACCCTTTTAATGATTCTCTTTTTAATGTGCTTGCTAATTGAAATCCAATGTTAATACATCCCAAATATGGAATTTACATATACTTGAAGATTTAAAAAGCTGACTTCAGTCTTATATTTTTTTTATGTATTTACTTCAATGCAAAATGCGACAAATTATACATTTAAAAAAAAGACTGAGCTAGCAAATTCAGATCTGCAAAAAAACTTGCTAAATTTTCAAATCCTTATGTGTATTTAACAAAAAAATGGAAAATTTGCAAATTCTTTGTATATATAGGGTTTTATAGTGTTTATAATCATATAATCACTGTTACACATGTTTTAAATATTAGCGAATTAACCAGACAAATAAAAGATAGGGTGCTTCGCGACTATCCTCTATTTCAACTTTTAATTGTGGTTCTATATTTAAGTATCTTTGTACAATAATATACAATAAAAAAAAAGTTACAGAATTATTAATATTTTTATTGTGGATTTTCAAAATTCTGAACATCCAGAAACTTTTCCATAGGGGCCATGTGAGGTCCCTCACAAAATTTGGGCCCAATCGGTTCAGCCGTTTTGCCGTTTATTGGAGACAAGCAAAGTAACAATAAAGTTTAAAACTTCTTATGAGAATATGTGAAGCCCTGTTTGTCATGGCAACCAATTTTTCATATTTACAATGTTGTAAACATTTAAGAATTTTAGATAAAAAGTAGATCATTATAAGTATATGTTGCTTAGTGTATGGATATTTACAGTAGTAATAACTAGAAAACTCTGGAATAAGAAAACGGCTTTCAAATATTTAAGTTATGATCATAAATTGACCAAAAACGTTAGACTTAGCAATTGTGCAGTGCAAACAGACCCACTGTACTGAAGATTAAATAAGTCACTAATACAACACAAGTTCTGACTTCTGAGTGGGAATCGGATAAATTACTAGTAGTTGAACATGATATTGATCTACCTAGTCCTCTTCCTTGTACCACCGAGATAAGAGAAATGGTCAAAATAAAACGTAATTAATTCAACGATTTCTGACTTTTTATTAATTCTGACCTCTTTAATAGAGATGTACCCATGTACAGGGTGTCCCACGAAACATGACAATAGCAAGACGACTTGAAAGTCGTCTTTGATATTTGAATTTATTTGTGACATTTAGTCTTCTATCTACTTTAACATGTATGATTCTTGAAACAATTATCACATGATTCTCCTAGCCCTGGCATTTCCAAAAAGTGGTCTGCGTTTTTTGTGCTTTCAATATTACCGGAGATATAAAGAGTTAGGTTCAGATTTCAATTTTGTTAAATAAAAGCAAAATTGTCGAAATCTGAACGAAATTGCTCATATCTCGGGCAATATTGAAAGCACAAAAAATGAAGACCACATTTTGGAAATGGCAGGACTAAGGGAATTTTGTGATTATTATCTCTAAAAATTTACTTCTAAAATTAGGTTAACAAATCAATGCAGCAAATTATATCAAAAATCAAGACAATATTCAAGTCGTCTTGCATACTGTCATGTTTCGTGGGACACCCTGTACAATAAATTTTAAGTTATTTTCTCCTCACTGCAAAGTGTAGAGATTAACGTTAATTTTTTTAAAAGTTCTTTTCCACCAATTTCTTGTCTTCTGTGTTGAATTGAACATTCTGACTAAGATTTATTGGTAAACTTTCATTTTATAAAGACTTTACTTTCAAACAAAGTACATTGATAACCATGATTCAATTTTGTTAAGGTATCAGAGCTTATATCTGAAACGGATGAGAATAAACCAAAATGTGGGAGAGAGGACGAGAGGGTTGGATTGAAACCATGGTTCGGAGGGAAATCAGAATGGTTCGGAGGAACGTTCCAATGGCTCGAAGGAAAGCCTCAAAACAAGAAGCCAGAGCTCCAGAAATCGGAGCTCTTCAAACAGATGATGCATCAGATGCCCAAAGGTTTGAATTTTACAGCAAGGTTTACTGAAACTTGCATTCATGAGTAAGGGGAGAGGGTCAAAGATTTTATTTCAGATAAGGCAAAAAAACGGGGTTGCTAAGAAACCGGAGCATGAACATGAATGTGCATGGACATGAACATGCATATGAACATGCATATGCACAATGAACATGTATATAGACATGCAAATGCACATTTAACATGCCCACAATAATTTTTATTTTCATTGTTAAATTTTGTTCCAGTAAAAAACTTCTTGAGAGAAACCTTCAGCCTGGTTTGGATAAAACAATTTTGCTTTCAACAAAGGAAAACGAATATAATCCAGCAAGCTTTAAAATTCATGAACGTCTATAGAACTCTTCTCATTTATTTTAAAGATTTTTATTTTGGTTCGAGATAAAGATTGAATTTAATTTGACGAAATTATTCAGAGAAATTCCGAATACTAGAGGAACCACGAATACATGAGGAACCACAGATACTAGAGGAACTACGGATACTGAAGGAACCACAATTGAAGGAACCACGGATACTAGAGGAACCACGGACGCTCGAGGAACCACGGATACTAGAAAAACCACGTATACTAAAGGAACCACGGATACAAGAGGAACCACGGATAATAGAAGTACAACAGACTCCAAACCAATGTATTGACTTTGAGCACAAAGAAACCCAGGAGAGCCTACTATAATTTTCTAAATTTTCATCAGTTATTAAAATTCTAAAAATTTTAAACCATACTAAAACATTTTATTCACTCTGAATCATGATATTTCTTTCTATCTAAAAAAACTATGTATACAACTAAATCTTATTTACAAATGCTTTGACAGAAAAAAAAAATATTTTTGAACTTTTTTCGAAAATATAAAACCCCTGGATCAAGGAGAACCTGGTGAACAAGGAGAATGAAAAGCAGAAGGAGGAGAAGAAGATTATCGTTAAATCAAGGAATATATTTTATGACAAATACAGAAGCTATATTAATTATTCCAATCTCAATCAAGCATTTACAGAAAAATATTCATGCAACCAATTTGAGTATTTTAAAGATGGAGGGGATATTATATATACACACATTTTATGTAACACATTATGAGTGTTAAAAACTAGTTTCATGAGAATAATAACAAAGATTTAATGACAAAGGTCGTAATTTCTCCGTGTGATATTTGTTTATTTGCAGACAACCAGTTCCTGAGCGGGGAAAAAAGTACTCAACCACCATCCTCACTTAGGATGCAACTTAGTTTGGAATTAAAATTCTGTTTTTTAAACATAAACATAATTTGTTTTTGCTAGGGTTGACTTCAGATCTCAGCTAGGCTTGCTGCGTAAGATAGCTAAGGCTGCCATGAAAATAGGAGATAAAGTTGAAATCCATGAGAGTAGGGTTGGATCAGTTACATTTGGAGATAAAGAAGTACGCACTTCCAGTTTAGGTAAGATCGGTAGATAGGAGATATATTCTTGAATCTACCCCCCCCCCTCTAAGCTGTAAACAAATTTTTTACGTTTTTATAGTTCTAAAACCTATGGTATACCCTTTGAATGAACAAATAATTTACTAAGTGGTCCAGAATGTCTGAATGTTAAAAAATCATACAACAGTCACCTCCCCACCCCCTCCACCGGTTAGGTGTGGGGCCCTGTAATATATATTTAGAAGAAAAAAAACATTCGATGATGGGGTGAGGGAAATGAAAAATTGGGCAACTTCCGGCAAGTTTTCCTATATCTTTTGACACTTTTACCACAAAAAACCTTCAATTTTCCCCTAAAAGTCTATTTTTCCTAAACGTCTATTTTCCCAATTCAGATTTCAAAAAGGGGAAGGAGTTAGAAATATTTTTGAGACAATATTTATATTTAAGATAAACATTAGGCCCCTGTATTTAGGATCTAAAGAAGGATCTGAGAATATCAAATTGACTGGGTTTAAAAGAATAACTAGTCCGGGACTCATCTCTTCAAGGAATATATACATCAGGAGCCCATCAAACTCTAATTCTAAATTCTTATTCCTTCTTATTCCAAAGACCAGTTCTGAATTTATTTTTAAAACATAAATTTTTTGGTATTTTGAAATGATTTTAACAAATCGCTATCTTTTTTTAAATAAATTAAATTGAAAAATCTTTTTATTATAAAAAGCGCACTACAGGCTTACAGCTTCTTCGAGTAAGATTAAAACATTTAAAGTGCTTCAGGGCCCCCGGGGTCTTTTTTATGAACTCGGTCAGTTTTTGAAAATCATGGAAATCAATGTCGTGGATTAAAAAAAAAAATTATTCACACCGCTAGCAAATAAAGAAAAAAGTTTCAGACTCCTGTGGCCTCTGGTTTCTGAGATTGGCCATTATTTTTAATTAATTCTCAGAAACTGGCGAGAAACATAGTTCTTGTTGTATGTATTCTATACATCAGTCAAAAATCAAGATCAGAGTCAATTAGAGAAGAAACTAGAAAGAGAAAGTTTACACCGATAAACTTCAATGAGGATCAACCGAAGGAAACAATTAAGGTGAATATTTCGAACCTGTGAGTCTCCTAGAGTGAATTTAAGTTGTTTTGAGAGATCAGTGATCGGAACATTTGTTTAAAGTATTGTTCATTGTGAACGCTTAATCCATATATCCAATGTTGGCACTTTCAAAATCTAGATAAATGTTAAATCTAGAATATTTGTTAATCTGATCTACAGATTAATCAAATTATTTAATCTTTATTTGATATCCGGTATGGTAATTGTACCCTGCAGGGATAACTGAAATGAAGAAATTAAGCATTGATTCTCAAATTAAAAGTGCTCACAGTGGATATGAAGCGATCGGGATTATGCATATTGCATATAGTATCCAATACTCATAAACTATTCAACTTTCCTCAATGTATTTTTAACAAGCGTAAATTCACTGAAAACATTTAAAACCATATCTCAGCGAGGGGAAAAAGGCCAGCAACAACAATTTTTAGTCCGAGCCACATTCTCCTCATTTTTTCGTTCGAGCCACCTTGAAATCCTCGTCCTTCCAATATTATTTTTTTAAAGTGTTTAATCCTCCAATATTAAACTTTTTTTAGGAATCGGCCCACGTTAGGGCATAATTTTGAATTTTTTGTAAATCGAAAAAAATAGTTTTATTTGAATCAAAGTTTTCGAGTTCAATGTCCTGAAAAATGTTCACCTTTTTATATTCCTGGTTTAGAATGCCGCAAATAATTTCAAGTTATAGAATTTTAATCTTTTTTGTTTATTATAGTGTAAAATTTACATTGTACGTACAATGTACAGTGTACACTGTACATCATACGGAGTTCAATTGAAAATATTCCTGAAAGAGGTTCCTAATTCATAACTCAAATTTGAACAATGGTTCCTTGGCTTGTTTTTACAGGGAATAATGCAAATCAAAAAGTAAAGTTTGTTTTGCCGCAATACCGACGCCTAAAGGACCGTACCACTCACAATTTCCCCAATCTTAGAATATAATAAATATTTATCTAACCATTAGAATTGTATTGTAGGTACAAATAAGATGAGATTTTAAATAAAAAAAAAGTATATTTTTAGAATAATAACTCTGATTGTGAGGAAGCCGATCTTAGCAAGAAGAAATTCAAACCAATAGAATTCAATGCTTTACCATACAAAGACGATGTTGATGTTACAGACGAGACTAAAGAAGATAAGATTGCCTCTGGAGTTGATTTGAACAAGTTTATCCTCCCTAATGTTGAGTTTAGTCTACCCAGCTCGACTCCTAGTCTACCCAGCTCAGAATTGATTGCATCAAGTCGAGCTTTAATCAACCAACCAATATCTTCTTTGGTAACATTTAAAAAATGTTTTTGTTTTGATGAAAGTTTTGTTGAAAGAAATGACAGGGTAGATAATTATATAAAAATATCTACATATAACTTTTTCTTCTAGGTCTAGAGTTCTATATATGATAAATTTACAATTTTTTGGGATTAAGCTACTTTATTCATAGATATCAAGTATAAACAAAATATTCCCAATAAAAAATCATTTGATGAATGTTGTATCAAATATATTTTTGAGGGGTACCTAGTAACAGCAACCATTATAATGCACCTTCTAACAAACATTTAACGGATCTCAAATTTGCTCTTTTATGCATAATGCATATATTTAGGGTTCGGGGTTAGGTGTATTCGGACCGGATTTGTCTGGTTTTGGAACTCAGTTTCAAGAAATTAGATCCTTCAACTTTTTTACCCAGAGGGTTGAATCCATACAAGGATATGGTTCCATTAGCTTGGAACTTCAAGGTTCAGATCTGCAGGAGTTTAATCCTTTAAATCCTACGAAACCGGGGATCAAATCCAGGTTAGGATTCAGTTCCACAATCTCTAAAGAAAATGAAGAGGAGGAGGAGGAGGAAAATGATGAATTTGATGAAGAATGGGAAAAATATTATCAGGGACTAGATTTGATGATTGCAAAAAGTGGTTGAACCGAATACATAGTTGAACTACTTCTCTTTAACAAGGAGAAGTGGCTCAACTACGATTATGCGGTTCAGCTACTTCTCGTTGTTCATAAAATCTGGTCCAAGGTCGCAGTACAACGCTGGTCAACTGTACCAGGAATAAAAATACCTAAGGTAAATCATAGTTTTCCTGAAACTAACTCAACATCATCTGACTTTATTTTAACACTATCTCAAGAACAAATTTGTAAAAGGTTCAATTCCCCCCCCCCCCCATAATTATCAAATCGTGTATAACAAATTCAAAATGGGACTTCTTAGTATATTTTTAGCTGTTACATTAAAGTATTTCTCCATAAAATCATTGAAGTATTTCTCCATAAAATCACAACTTTACCCAGGAATGTAGTAATAACCTTTTATTTAAAGATCTAGAAAACTCAGGAATAATTGTCGTCAATCCTTTTTTATATATATTTTTTAGTTTGTCTAGTCATCAATGTTAATATGATAAATATGCAAAATTTTGAATTCTACAATTATAAAGATTAATGGCGAATTATAAACAACATTTAAAAAATTGTTCCTAGGAGAGCGAGGTGAACCCCCATGAAAGCTTAGTATTTTAAGAGAGTAATTTTTAACGTTTCTTTTCTAAAACTGTCCTGTTCGAAATATATCAGTTACACCAATTATGAGCAACAAAATTCTAATCAAAATTTCAAATTTAAGAATAAGACGATAATCATTCCACTGTTTTATGGTCTAACTGTATTTTTGATTCAGCGGAAACATTTAGCGGCTGTGTCTGGCTTGTACGGAGGAATGGTCGGAAAGATTACAGCGGAAGAGTGGGCAGACAATAACCATCCTAGTTGGCAACCTGAGCGAACCATATTTGAGGGTAAGCAGTGAGAACCAGTAAACTCCGGATACACGAAGACGACTTTGAACTCAATTTATGACTTTACCTATAACAATTAGACAAAGCTAAATTTACCGATAACAATTAGAAAAAGCAATCGGTGGACTAAGCCAGTGGGGTCGGTCAATCAGGCCTAGGATTAGGCCGGGTACTGTAAAAAGTCTGTCATAGTTAGCCCTCCGACAGGACTATACCAAGAAAAGTGAACCCTGTCGTATGTTTATCTGGGTAGGGCGACATACTGTACAGAATATGGAACCGGGCTACCATAGGATCGGGTCAGTATACGCTGTTATCTGGCAGGCCGGTACACCAGGGCAGGTCCTGTTCAAATTCAAATTTACTACGGCCCAGAGTGTGCGTGCTGTGTAAAAAAAATTTCATTTCAATGCATAAGTGTTTTAATAAGTCACTATCCACAAGACTATTTGCTCTGTAACAAAGTCAAATACTTATTGAGTTTTACTTTAATATCACCTTCCTATATCCCAGTGTTACGGTTCTCTCTGTATCTTCACGCTTTTTTGGTTTAGTGTCATGATTAACTCCTGAAGACGATCTCCGGTAAGACAAATCCATGACGCTTCATTATTCTATAAGTTTGTTTCTTTCAATAGTTTGTATTTACTGAGATTGTGTTTAAGAGATTTTATTTACTGAGATTGTATTTAATGAGATTGTATTTACTTAGATTGTATTCACAGAGGTTTTATTTACTAAGATTGTATTTACTTAGATTACATTTACTGAGATAGTATTTCTGGAGTTTGTATTAACAGAGTTTTTATTTACTGAGATTGTATTCACTGAGATTGTATTTACTGAGATTGTATTTACTGAGATTGTATTTACTGAGATTGTATTTACTGAGATTGTATTTATATGTACTTACAGAGATTGTATTTACTGAGATTGTATTTCCGGAGTTTGTATTTGCTCTGTTGGTCTTTCAGGAGTTTGTATGGCGCCAAATGAACAACTTTTAAATTGAGTAAGGAGCTTCTCGCCCCCCCCCTGGAAAAAATTTTGAATACTCCCCTGCTGAAGTCGTTAAATCAATAAATATTGCATTTCCCTCCTCGACTTATCTAAAATGTTTGATTTCCAGGAATCCTACGTGAAGAATTGCCCCAGTTGAAGATGCCGAAGATTGTAAACTTAAAGTGGGGAGGAAACAGGGAATTAAACACGATCAAGGCAGGAAGAGTATTTCTTTAAACTTCTATTTATAGATGTGCATTTATGATTCACAAAGGTACCATCAAATGCGTTGTGTTCTCAAGATTGTAACGTCTCAATATAAGTGACTTACAGATTTTTGCTTCTAAACAATGGAGGATTAATTCTCAGAACTAACTTTTCAATTCAGAAAAACGACGATGTCTTTAAAAAGTACCGTTGTAAATCGGACATTTGCCCCTTTTTTGATGGAGATCACGGTGCGCCTGAATAAAATCAAGATTTGGAATTTATGCAAGTAGATCAATAAAACACGAGTTCTCTCAAAAAGATCTTTGTGAAAAAGTTTCATTATCATTTTTCTCAATTATTTTTATTTTCAAATCACACTAACCTTATATCTGAGGCATTTCAAAAGTCTTGATTTTGTTCGGGCGCACTGTGAGGTCAATTGAAACTGATATTAAGTCTCTGAAATGGAACTGATAATGTAATTTCAAATGACCCGACGTTTGTAGCATAACGGTACCGCTAAAAGGTTTGTCTCTTCAAGTACTAATGTGATATCCATGCTCCTCATAAAAAAGTTGGTTATTTACAAAGGTGAGTTGATCTTGCTACAGAAACATGTGAGAATTTAATACTTTTCAAGCTGGAATAAAGGACGACATCTTAAACATTATTGACCACAATAAGGTTCAAAGGGGTACCGTTATGAATCAGACACGGCTTTCCTTAAATGTGAAAGCTACAGAAAATTACACAATTCGTCTTAACTTGCTCATATAAAGAAGAATATATGTAAAATTTCGCGAATAACGATTGACGGAATTGGGAAAAATGAACTTGCAATGTAGTATTAATAACACTATAGAGGGAAAGAACAAAAATTAATTTCTAATTTAACAAATTAATTTTTGGAACACTCGAACACTTACTTCAAAACTTAAAACTAACTTGCTCTGTTGGCCTAGGATCTGTCCTGCTTCCCTGAGATGAGAGTAGAGGCTAAACTTCCTTTGGTCAACATATTAGGAAAAATGATCTTCAGTATTAAAATTTATATTTTCGTACCCTTCAAAATCATTATTCTAGTACATTCATGTCTGCCATTTTTTTTATTGTTAAACGCAGTGCTATGAATCATTTTAATTTTGATACGCTTCCGGATCCAGGATCTTCATTGGGAAAAAATGGATCCAGGTCATGAACATCTCATGATTTAATGATCTCATGACTAAAAAAGAATGTTATAAAAGCTATTTTTTTCCTTTCTTTTTTATTTTTATGCTTGAATAAAGAACACATTTAATAAACTCTCTATTTTCAACATTTTAGATTTGGGTTTGAAAGAAAAATATTTTTTATTGCAGTTTTTTGTTGATATTTTGATCCTTGGATCTGGATCCGTGGATCCGCATATTTTTGCGAATTCGAATCCTGATCCAGGAACCCGAAATGTTGCAGATCCAATGGATCCGGATCCGGATCCTGAGCACTGGTCAAACGTTTGTGAATTGGCCCATGTTGAGTTTTTTTTCTGACCCCTGATAAGACATCGTATTTTTCATTTAATCGTTCTCATTGCTTATTTGATAGAATCGACATCAGTAGACGAAAGGAATGAGGTTGACGTTATAAAAACCTACCAACTTTGTTTTAAATACCTACCGACTTTGTTATAAAAACCTACCAACTTTGTTTTAAATACCTACCAACTTTGTTATAAAAACCTACCAACTTTGTTTTAAATACCTACCAACTTTGTTATAAAAACCTACCAACTTTGTTATATAACCCTACCAACTTTGTTATAAAAACCTACCAACTTTGTTATATAAACCTACCAATTTTGTTATAAAAACCTACCAACTTTGTTATATATAAACCTACCAATTTTGTTATAAAAACCTACCAACTTTGTTATAGAAACCTACCAACTTTGTTCTCTTTTAACCTTTAGTTTGCAATTTCTCCTTCACAATATTCAATATTCAAACTCAAAAAGTACAATATTGATTAATTCTTATTAATTATTTTTTAAATATTTCCGTCCTATACCATTAAGACATTACTTTTTCCAAATCAGAGACTGGTCTCAGGAAGACGACATTAAACCGCTCCGATGCTGAGTCCCATCTTGTAAAGTGGGCCATCAATAACAGGTCTCTACAGCATGATAAAATACATAAAATAATGAAATTCCCCCAGCACCCATTCCACCGAAAAATAACTTTTTTTGTTATTTTAACTTTTTTATTTGTTTTTTTATTTAAATTATTTAAATAGATTTTTTAAAAATTTATTCTTGCATTTATTTTTTTAAGGAGTTTGGACACATCAGATCCGTCTGACAAGGCAGCAAGAATGATCAACAGTTTGATGTAAGATTTGTAAAACCAATATATTTTGTCTCACAGCATAAGGATAATAGTTATCAGTGCCATACAGGATACCAGGCACGATATGAGACCAGTGTTTATGTGTTAAATGTTCCTTTGTCATTTGTAAATTTACAACCATTTTGTAAATTGATATTTCATAGGTAAATAGATTAAAAATAAACATGTATAAGTTTATTTTGTAAATTGTTAACACGTAATTGTAAATGCATTAGTCTCTAAGTATCATCAACATTTATTTTTAAGTTGGCAAAAANTGATTTGATTTTGCACTATGACGAAAAACAAACGTTTTGAACACATTTTTGAATTGAAACTAGCATCGTTTTTGTGAACGTAATAAAAAAGATGAATACGCCCATATTCTAGCTTTCATATATTTTCTATTTTTATTAAAATCAATTATTTCTTTATCCTCATTATATTAAATTTCTCATTCTTTATGAATTCGTTTGTAGATTTTTTAAAATTCTTAAATTGTCGTCTTTTCATTAAAAATTCCAGGAAATCTTGGAAAAATGTTTATGAACATTACATTATTTTTTTAACCGATTATCAAAATCATCCTTCTAGGACGATCCATGTCAATTAAAAAGATTGAATTTGCGCTCTTGCTAGACAATTATACACTGATTGGTCTCAAATGACTCCTAAAAGATTTCTCCACAATACCGCATTTTCAGCTAAACTACCATGTCTAGCCGGTCACTCCCTTTAAGAAAGTTTTGACCTGAAAAAATGTTCCCAAAATCAAATTTACCTCATATTCTTTGTGTTGGTTCTCTTCCTGTTCAGAGTTCTGTTTAGAGAATTGGTATTTTCACCTTCATATACTGGATCAAATGTCCGGCATTGGTCATAGAATTTTAGAAATTCTTTGAAATAAAAATTGTGAATTTTGAAAAAAATATAGCTTTTTTTCTGGCAAGGTAATAAAGAAAAATAACATCATTTTCCTTGTTCCTAAAGTATAAATCTTAAATTAAATTTTAAAATGAAAAGATTTCTAAAAATGTTTTTAGAAAAATGAAACAGCCTCCAGTCTGTTTACATTGTAAATATACTTTGCTGGTTATCTAGTTAGTTACATTGGTTTGTTTCTTTGTATCCAATAAAATTCAAATTAACCTAGGGAAGGGTTTCAGCGAACGAAAACTTTTGTGAAAAAATGCAAAACATATTCGAAAATTTTGTTCTTTATTCGCAAACTTGTTCGCGAAATTTCACATTTTTCGCGAAAATGAAAAAAGCGAAAAGATGCGAAAACGATGTGAACGAAAATGGGAGAGACCTTAAGCGGACAAAAAATCGTTGTTCTACAGTACATGCATTGTATTTTAAACAAAAGCAACTATGATTATAGGTTGTAATATGAAAATGTCGTCTTCATTATCAAAAATTCTGGAAACAGGAATAAATTTTTTTAAAAGTAACTCTCACATTATAACAAAAAAGCCAGGACGTAGAGGCTAAGGAGATCATCTATACCTTATATCAAGAGATTACTGAATAGTAATAGATAAACATATATATGCTTTTACCACTATGACAAATTTCAAATGTATTATCTTATTGTATATGAATGTTAATCCTCGGATTTTTATCATAATAAACTCTTTTTATTTTATAACAAAAAATAAAAAATATCATGAAATATCAACTATGTACGAATGCGTCGAAAAATGATCGATGATTACTGGTTATAATATCTGAATAATTTGTTTGTAATTAAATTATTTTTTTGTCGATTAGAGTCGAATATTGGAACTTTCTGAAACCAAAAATATTTTTGGACCAAAATGTTCTCTTCGTCGAGACAGTACAATTGCTCCCCACGCGAGAAGCTTTGAGATACAATTGAAGGTCAAGTCTAGAAACTGTATAATACGTCGAATCAAAATAATTGTAACTTTATGAAATGCTTGTGTGCGTGTCTTGATGCAACGGTTATTTCTAGTTTTTTCATTTTTTTTCTAGAAATATCTTTAATTTTTTTAAATAGTAAAAGTGAGAACCAGTTAAACCGTTTAGCACTGTACTATAATATACAGCTATTAGTATTTAGCACGATAATTACTTTATAGCACATCTAAAATCAAAACCAATTTTTTTGAAAAATACGAGAAGTGAGAACCAGTTAAACTGTTTAGCACTGTACTATAATATACAGCTATTAGTATATAGCACGATAATTACTTTATAGCACATCTAAAATCAAATTTACCATTTTTTTTAAAATACGAGAAGTGAGAACCAGTTAAACTAGTTAGCACTGTACTATAATATACAACTATATTGGCTTATAGCACGATAATAACTTTATAGCACATCTAAAATCAAATTTACCATTTTTTTTTGAAAAATACGAGTAGTGAGAACCAGTTAAACTGTTTAGCACTGTGCTATAATATACAGCTATATTGGCTTATAGCACGATGATTACTTTATAGCACATCTAAAATCAAATTTACCATTTTTTGGAAAAATACGAGTAGTGAGAATCAGTTAAACTGTTTAGCACAATACTATAATATACAGCTATATTGGCTTATAGCACGATAATTACTTTATAGCACATCTAAAATCAAATTTACCAGTTTTTTTTTGAAAAATACGAGAAGTGAGAACCAGTTAAACTATTTAGCACTGTACTATAATATACAGCTATATTGGCTTATAGCACGATAATTACTTTTATACAGCTATATTGGCTTATAGCACATCTAAAATTAAATTTACCAATTTTTTGAAAAATACGAGAAGTGAGAACCAGTTAAACTGTTTAGTGTTGTGCTATAATATACAGCTATTGACATATAGCACGATAATTACTTTATAGCACATCTAAAATTAAATTTACCATATAAAGTGACAATATGTGATAAAGTACACAAAAGTTTCACAAAAATAATTTTTCAATCTTTATTCTCTTTATGTCTAATTCTGACCCACAAAGGAGTCTGGTCAGTTTTAGTTATTTTTAAACTGCGAAGTTTGCACAATACTTTTTCATTTCCAAAGGGTGGATCCGCATTTGAACTACTGCCGTTTGAACTATGGTACGTTTGAACTATTGCTCGTTTGAACTATTGTTCATTTGAACTACTGACATTTAGATTAAACAAAAATGTGCTATAAAAATAAAAAATTAACATCACGTTACGTTACATATCAGATAGACATATGGCATGGTGCTTGGAAATCCCAGAAATTTGATAACGGCACACAGCTGGCGTAATCTGATTCTTTGGAGGGAAAAATTAGAGTTGCCCTAGTATTATATACAATCCATAATAACTCTTTAAAGCTAGAGATGGACTTCGCTTTTGTAAACGATTTTAAACCATTCAAATTAACTTTAAAAAACTACCGTTTCTATACTGAACAAATAAATTGTACAAAATAGTATGATATAAAACGTTGTTTTTAATTACTAAACAAACGATTTTTTACATGAAACAATTATTGAACGAACAATTTTACTGAACGAACAATTTTCCTGAACAAATGATCTTACTGAACGATTGTTCACTAATAAAACAAACAGAATAGATGAAAAATTCACGATATTTTAAAGAACAAACAAGTTCAATTCTTTTTTAATGATAGAAAAAAATGTAATGGGTCGTTCACAAACGATGAATGAACGAAATGAAAAAAGCCAATCGCGCCAATCTCTATTTATAGCTGCAAGCTATTATTTTGGTTCGCAGTGCTAAAATGTTGTTGGACGAAAATGTTCTCTTCATCGAGACAATACAATTGCGCGCTAAAAAAGGCTAGAAGCTTTGAGATACAAAGAAAGGTCAATCTTAGAAACTGTATATTACGTCGAACCAAAATAATTGTTGATAATTGTTGTAACTTTATGAAATGCTTGTGTCTTGATGCAACGATTATTTCAAGTTATAAACTTTCATTTTTTCTAGAAATATCTTGAAATTTTATTTTAGATACGAAAAGAGAGAACCAATTAAGCTGTTTAGCACTGTGCTATAATATACAGCTATTGGCTTATAGCATGATAATTACTTTATAGCACATCTAAAATAAAATTTACCATATAAAGTGACCATATGTGATAAAGTACACAAAAGTTTCACAAAAATAATTTTTCAATCTTTATTCACTTTATTTTACCAATGCTGACCTGGGGACCAAAGGTTCTGATTCTAACTTGGAACCAAGGAGTCTAATTCTGACCCACAAAGGAGTCTAATTCTGACCCACAAAGGAGTCTGGTCAGTTTTAGTTATATTTAAACCGCGAAGTTTGCAAAATGCTTTTTCATTTCCAAAGTTTATGACCTTATTTCTACCAACATTGGGGGAATGCGGGAGAGGGGGAAGGGAGGGGGGTGACAGGAGGACAAGGGAAAGGGAGGGGGGGGATTTTAGTACAATGGAGCGTCCAGAATAAACTAAATTGGAAAGCCCAAATGTGTGCCATGGTTTAACAACTATGTTTATTGTTTAGTGCGAGTAAACGTGTTTAACTGAACACAACTATTTTCAAGTATATAACGACCTTTTGAGGAACAAGTAAAGAAGCAAACAAAGAATTATAAAAAAAGATTAAGAATGCAGCTAACAGCTTGGATCCTTGTTTTCCTAGCTTTCATTCATTCCGGTAAGAACCAGCAATTTGCAATTGTTGCAACTAATACATCTCTAAAAACTTTTTAGAAATAGTTTAAATTCAAAAGATGACTAGTATGCCATTGCTTTTTTGGTTCTCATTGTATATCTTTGCATTTTTGACATTTCAAACTGAAGACTTTTGATTTGGCAGATCTTTAGGTTAAAATTAATAGGATTAAAAAATTAGATTTTGAGGCAAATAACCATGTGGTGTCTGTGTTCAATCTTATTTAGGGTTTTTAATCAGAATTCCGTTGCCCGGAAATGGGCAAAATTGCCCGAAATTGCGCGAAACTACAAGGCTCAGGGCAAGTTAAATCCACTTTGAAACCCATTGGAAAACCGTTGGAAACCCATTGAAAACCCATTGGAAACTCGTTGGAATCTTGTTGGAAGCTTGTTGAACCCCCATTGGAAACCATTGAAAATTGTTGGAAACCTTTTGGAAACCCATTGGAAAACCATTGAAAACCCGTTGAAAACCCGTTGAAAACCCGTTGAAAACCCGTTGAAAACCCGTTGAAAACCCCATTAGAAAACCAATGAAAGCGAGTTGAACCCCGTTGAAATCCTGTTTAAACCCCATTGAAAACCTGTCGAAAAACCGTTAAAATCCTTTGAAAACCCATTGAAACCCCGTAGAAACCCCATTGAAAGCATGTTAAAACCCCGTTGAAAACCCGTTGAAAACTGGTTAAAAGCCCGTTGAAAACCCGCTGAAAACTTGTTGAAACCAGGCGCGCAACTAGACATTTGGTTAGAGGGGGGCTAGGAGGAATTATTTTGCGCGAAGCGCGAAAAATTTTTTGGCCCCCCCCTAAACATTTTTAGGGGGGGGCAAGAAAAATGTGTGTTATACTTAAACAATAAAAAACTTATATTTAGTTTTTTAATTAAATGATTATATATAGAACTCTTTAAAACTGTTCCCGCATATTCATGGCTATTTATCTATTTTCGCAAATACTAAAATTTACGTAATATAGTATAAAACTCATTGAAAAATTGTCAAGACGACATTTGATAAATTCTTTCGATGTATTCGTTATTATAAAGGGTTTCACAGTAGTATAATATATTTTATGATATGTTTTAGGCTGCGGAATTCGTTGTTTTATTGACAATAAAGTAGGCTCGCAGATTTGCGCTACCGGAAATGGAATTGCCAGATGCGCAATTAGGACCGAAGGTAAAATATTTTTTCATTAATCGAGAAAAGATCGGTAAATTTTGGACAGTGAGAAGAGAAGACGCGACTTTTAGCCTCAAGTTATGACTTTAAATAGTCTACAGAGATTGAGACACATCAATTGTGCAGTGGAAACAGACCCATTTACTCAACTGAGGGATTTAATGAGTCATGCCAGTAAAACTCTTTCCTTTTCTTTAATGTCGTCTTACTATTCCACAGTTTTCTGGTTATCACTGTAATATCAAAGTTAAAATCCTTAATTTTTGCTTTTAGAAGCATTAATCCTTTATAGTTCGGTTCAGGGTTTCTCATCTTTATAAACTTTAAATGTATATTCAAAGTTTAAATACTTTTTGGACGCTCAAAAACTTTTTTTAAGGATTTTAAGTTATTTTGTAAAATTTAAAAACCACAAATTTGTAGATTCCTTTTAATAACATTGCAGCCGTATAAATCTTGTTTTAAAGGGACTGTACGTGTAATTTCAAGTTAATCTCCATGCAAAGATTGCAATTGCCCGATTAATAACGGAACCCTTAAAAGCACTGTCTGTTAATGTTTACAATTTTGAAGCTGATAATATTCAATTGTGGTTTCTACTGATGCAGAAATTAAACAGTTCCAGAGGAAAACGACAATATCTTCCACATTATTGATCAGATAACGATGTCAAGGGCACAGTTGTGAATTAGGTATTGTCAACTTTGCATAGAGATTCACTGAAAATTACGCTTACAGTCCCTTTAATATTGACCTGAATTTTGCTTACAGTCCTTTAATGTTGACCTGAATTATGCTTACAGTCCCTTTAATATTGACCTGAATTATGCTTACAGTTTCTTTAATATTGACCTGAATTTTGACAATTACAATGCAAGTTTGGGATTGCATGCTTACTTTGGCCTTACAAAAAGACCTCGCCTTCTAAATTCATTTTTCTTTAAATCTTTAATTTTAGTGTGCAGTTTACAGAAGAAATATTATAAAAAGAAGTTACAAACAGATTAAGTTAAAAAATATGAAAATGGATTAATTCTCGAAAAGAAAAATATCTTTTGACGAAAATTTTGCTAAATCAATTTGACTTTTGAATAACGCGCCACTAGACAGAAGAAGAAAAATTATGCATATTACTTTGTGCCCTAATAGCTCCTGAGTTCTCTAGTTTTAATTTTACGCGAGGGAGGGAAGGCACACCACCTATTTTGTTCGTCCGAACACAAATGACGTCACAATTCACCATAATTTTGTCCGACCACACCTTTTTTTTGTTTTCATTCTTTTTATAGTACTTAAATAATTTTATTCAAATTTTGAGCTTTGTCATGTTGTTTAAAATGCTTAATAATATAATTTATTATTTTTCTTTAAAGAAAACCATCTTATAAAGGTTCAATTAGCATTATACAATCACAGAAATTTATACTCAAAAATGTTCATTTTTAGTTGTAGATTCTAAAAATCATAGCGATTATAGGGAGTGGGGGCCATGCAGCCATTATTATAGGGATTATAGGGAGTGGGGGCCATGCAGCCATGAGCCCAGCAATATCCTGTTAGAACATAGGTAGTTAGCAGAACCCTGCCCGAACCCCACAAAATCCCAGCAAAAGACTGCTCAAGAAAACAACCTTTTCTTGATTTTAAAAAGAAAAAATTTCTCAAAAAATAAAACGATGCTTTAAAACTGTAAATTGTAAAATTGTGTCTTCTTATATTTAAGAAATGCTTCAGATAGAATGATCACAGTGATGAATAGTTGATATGTAAAATCTTGCATATAAATGTATTTTGCAACTCATTATTTCTTATTTGAACTATACACAATTCATTTAAAAATGTGTAGATGGTATATAATCATAATATTTATAATTCCTTTACAATTCATAATATACTTTCTGCACATTTTTGTATGAATGGTGTATAGTTAGAATGAATGATAAATATTAAGTTTGAAAATACATTATTATAAAAGATAAAAGATTTTTAAGTGTACATTCAGCTTTCAGAGAAACAGCGACTAGGTATTAAAAAGTATTCAGAGCTACAGGGTGAGAGAGAAAACGGCAAACTACTGGGTTCAAACTGGATATTGCTGAGCTCATGGCCGCATAGCCCCTCCCCCTTCCTCGAGACTCTCACCTGGTGGTCTGAAGGAAAAATATGTGTTATGGAATGGTCCAGGCGATTATAGGTTTTCAGTTTTGTGCTAAATTGGGCTTAATTACTGTCTTATTTTTTAACTAAAATGAACTTTAAGTTAAATCAAATCATATATAGAATACCATGATGTTGCCTAAATTAAAATTCACTGCGTTCACTGAATAATCAGAAAATGATGCAAAAATGATTGCGTTTAAAATAATCGTATTGAAGGGAAGGGGGCAAGGCAACTGGAACTGTTACTTGTAGAGGCAGCAAATGGAGTAACCCCTGCTATTCAGGGCCTGAATATATGTTCAGGGGTAATTACCCCTAGAATTCTAGGGAGGGGTATTTACCCCCAGGCTTCTAGGGGGGGGATTTACCCCCAGGATTCTAGGAGGGGGGTAAATAACCCCAATAACCCCCCTTATGGCCGCCACTGGTTTCAGAAGAGAAAACTTTTACGGAATTTTTTTAAAAATGAACCAAAACTATATACAACACTTCTTGTCTAGTTGGCGGAGTGACGAGCAGATACTGTATTGGAGAAGCCAGTAATCTGGGCTGCACAGCTGATGGCACTGGGACAGTTTGCATCTGCGAGAGCAACGAGTAAGTAGCCATTTTGAAATTTAATTTCACGCCATTTTGAAATTTATTTTCACGCCATTTTGAATTTATGCCTATTTGAATATTCGTATTTTCGTTTGAGCACTTAAATCAAACAGCTAAGGAAGATTGTTGTTTTAACATTTTTTATTTATGGTTCGCCATTAAACTTAATTTGGATGATTTTTTAACTTTTCAGAGTTAAATTTATTGGGGCCTAATGAGATTGTAGCCATGTGTGTAATAAATATACTGTAATGTCCTTATATTCCTTGTTACCTGTTATTTATTTATCATATGTTATATTAATTTGATTAGCGCGGTCAGCGCAGACTACTACCTGTTAGACAAACATATATCAGTTCTATATAGACTTCGAACTGACCCACCTATTTATGCAGTGGCATGTTCAATTCACCACGGTAAACTTAAAAGCTTTTAATGAGCAAGAATTAATTAAAAATCCATGCTTTTAATTTATTGTTAACAATCTAAATAGATGGCGTCCAGATAGGTGGTAAAGAAACTAAGGGAGTTAGCGAAAATATCTTGATATGACTACTGCATATAGGGTACGGTTGGGAATCAGATATGCCCCATTTTAAACGGAGTGTCACTTAAAATTTTAACAACAATCCCTTTAATAATTTATTGTTGTTAAGATGTAACGAGTCAGCTACTAGAGCAGGAAATAATGCACCATCACTGGAAGCTCTAGCTGTATTAACTCTTGTATCTTGTTTTATTACTCTTTATGTTTAATCTAAATGTTAATGTTAAGATTTATAAGAAATTTTTAAATATCAATCAAAGTTATTGAGTTTTCGCCCCAAACTCTTATTTTTCTAATCCCTTATCTTTGCAATCTGATGTCGTGTACCATGCTAAAATGTAATTCTTTGAGATAAAATAATCTAATCAATGGTTTACACCATCAGGTTGTAAAGAATTAGAAAATTTGAGTTTGTGGCAAAAATTTTGTAAAACAATTAAATTCATAATTTTGTCATTTAAATCTGAAAACTTATTTTAAAGAAACAATGTTTTTAAAAGCTTGTTTATAGTCATTAAAAAACGGATGAAATCGAATAAAAATATTATTTAAAGAACAAAAAGGACAAAGGCCCCTAACCTTTTGATAATAAAAATAATCTTTAAGATTAGTAAACATGCATTTAGTTGAATGTAATTTAATTGATTGAAAAAACTTTTTTTAATGGATTAACACGGATGCCCAGTGCGCACTGGCCAGCACTAATTGGAATGCCTTTGGAACCCTGGTATATATATTCTATAATATCTTGTTCCAAGTTCCTTGTTCCCTGTTCCTATAATATCTTGTTCCTGATTCCGCATTCCCTGTTCCCTGTTCCTATAATATCTAGCATAATTCATTATTTGTATTTAAATTGTCTTGATATTTTATTAGATAATTATTTCATACTTCTGGCATAATTCATTATTTGTATTCATATTGTCTTGATATTTTATCAAATATAATTATTTCATATTTCTAGCATAATTAAATATTTTTATTCATATTGTCTTGATATTTCATCAAACATAATTATTTCATATTTCTAGCATAATTCATTATTTTTATTCATATTGTCTTGATATTTCATTAAATAATTATTTCATATTTCTAGCACAATTCATTATTTTTATTCATATTGTCTTGATATTTCATCAAATATAATTATTTCATATTTCTAGTATAATTCATTGTTTGTATTCATATTGTCTTGATATTTCATGAAATAATTATTTCATATTTCTAGCATAATTCATTATTTTTATTCATATTGTCTTGATATTTCATCAAATAATTATTATTTCATATTTATAGCATAATTCATTGTTTGTATTCATATTGTCTTGATATTTCATTAAATAATTATTACATATTTCTAGCACAATTTATTATTTTTATTCATATTGTCTTGATATTTCATTAAATAATTATTTCATATTTCTAGCATAATTCATTATTTTTATTCATATTATCTTGATATTTCATCAAATATTTTCATATTTCTAGAGGATCTGGTGGACAGCTGATGGGATGGGCTGTATTAACTCTTGTATCTTGTTTTATTACTCTTTATGTTTAATCTAAATGTTAATTTTAAGATTTATAAGAAACCAGGTGTTTTATATTAAAACGTGTTCTAAAATTTTTTTTTTCAAATATCAATCAAAGTTCTTGAGTTTTCGCTCCAAACTCTGATTTTTCTAATCCCTTTTCTTTGCAATCTGATGTCGTGTACCATTCCAAAATTTAATTCTGTTAGAAAAAAATCTAATCCATGGTTTACACCATCAGGTTGTAAAGAATTAGAAAATTTGAGTTTGTGGCAAAAACTCAATTCTTTAGATGAGAATTTTGTAAAACAATTAGATTCATAATTTTGTCATTTAAATCTAAAAACTTATTTTAAAGAAACAATCTTTTTAAAAGCTTGTTTAAAGTCATTAAAAAACGAATAAAATCGAATAAAAATATTATTTAAAAAACAGTAAGGACAAAGGCCCCTAACCTTTTGATAAAAAAAAATAATCTTTAAGATTAGTAAACACGCATTAAATTGAATTTAATTCAATTGACTGCAAAACTTTTTTCTAAAACGGATTCAGTGCGCACTGGCCAGCACCAATTGGAATGCCTTTGGAACCCTGGTATATATATAAGACTTGTGGTCTAAGATGTTTTTTAGTTTTCTAAAACAAACGGAATCAGTGTCAGAAAATAAGGACATTTTTTTAATCCATTTTATGAAAGCTTTCAGGCCTTTTCAGATTAACATGGTAATTAACGTAAAAATTGTATTTTTTAAAATATTCTTAACATTTGTTATTAAAATTATATTTTTAAAAATGTTCTTAACATTTGTTATTAAAATTATATTTCTTTAAATGTATGCAAAAGTACAAGAAAACACCTGAAAAACAGATATTTTTCAATAGATTATTCAAATGTAATTTAAATTAGAGGTTTTTAAATATTCTTTTTTTCAATATTTTTAATAATTTCACAAAGAGTTTGCTCTCGCTATTGTACATTTTTGAATTTCAAATATTTTCAATAATATTTACTTTTGAGAAAATTGAAGAGTATTGTTTTTTTTTAGAGTTTTTGGAATTAATAAATTCGTTTTTTTCTTTGTTTCTATGCAACTCATTCTTACAAACATTCATTAAAATGAATAAATATTTTAAACTTTGAGACGTAGATACTTGAACAGGATTGTTTTTTTTTATGTTAGATCAATTTATGAGATAAAAAGTAAAAATTAAATCTAACTTGTAAATCCATCCTGTAAACCTGATTTGAATGATAAAATGTGCATTTCAATTGTTCTCAGGTTGATTTCCAACTTTGTTATCAATCCCTTTATATACGTTTAATTTCATAAACATAAACACGTCTTTTATTTTCCCACAAACAGAAAACTTTAAAGTGGAACATAAGGGTAGTTTAAAGTGCTAAAAGGATAACAAGAATGAATTAATTTAAAATATTAATTTTGATAATTTTGAAAACTGATTTTATATAATCATAGTCTCTCTGTACAAACTTAAGTTGCACATTCCTTACTGCAGAAAAGCACATCTGAATTATCAGAATTAAAAACTTTTCTACCTTCATAAACATTATAACTTTGATATTTTAGATCATTGTCATCTTTATATAAATAATCACTTAAAATTACGCTTACACAACTTTTAAGAAAATTTTCGTTCGCTTGCAAAAAATGCGAAAATTTTCGCTTCAATCTGTTTCACGAAAAAAGAATCTGTTTCGCGAAATAGAAAATGCAAAAAATTTGGCGAAAAATGCGAAAATTTTGCAAAACAGAAAATGAAAAAATTTCGCGAAAAAAGTAATGCGAAAATTTCGCAAAAAAAATGGAAATTATGCAAAAAATAGATTTAGTTGATAACAAGAGCAAAAAAGTTGCGAAAAGTCATGAAAAAAGACTAATTTTTGAGAATACAAAATCAAGACTTACAAACGTCGGACTAGTACAAACGTCGGACTGGTACAAACGTCGGACAGTACAAACGTCGGACAGTACAAACGTCGGACAGTACAAACGTCGAACAGTACAAACGTCGGACCAGTACAAACGTTATAAACAGTGATTACCGTATCGCAATTAAACTAAAATAATTTTGCCAATTACTTCTTTAAACTAAAGTTAAAAATGTTGCTTTATATTTCTAAAATCCACATTTCCTGGGGGCGGGGCTAAAAAAGAACAGATGATTAAGCAAAGATCACGGCATTTTGCCAATTTAAAGTTGACCCAGTCCAGAAATTAATGCAAAAGATGTGAATATCTCAATCAATTTTAGATGCAAAGCCAATGCAGCACTTTTTAAACTTAACACACATAGTATTTGTTTTGTAAACTCCAAATAGATCCAGACTGCTAGAAAAAGTTGCATCAATTTACGAGACTGGGTCGATTTGACATCTAGCGGACTCGATTATACTTTTTACTATGTCTAGACATGGACATTTTCGAAATATATACTGCGCTATTTATACAATATATACAATATATACAATATATACAATATATACTGCGCTACAATTACAATATATACAATATTTACAATATAAATATATAATTTACTTGTTTGAGGGTTTGTCTGGATCAAATAATAGCAGTTGACATGTACCTGGGGCCAGGGGTGCTTTATGGCCTATCAAGATCTAAAATTGTTACTTTTTAAGGAAGGTACAATCGATTGTCTAAAATAAAACAAAAACAACCAACTTTCGTTAACCTTTCGTTAACGTTTCGTTAACCAAACGACAAATAATAAAATAAAAACTACTACTTCGTTTTTAATGAAAATACCCGATTCTTTACACAAACGATCGTTTTTTACGTTGTTGACAAAACGATCAGTCCGCTTTTCATGGAAAAACGGAAACGATCCATTCCTACACCTCTGTGTTGTTGTTTTATGCTCTAAACCCCGAAAAATCCTTATACACTGAAATCAACATAAGAAAAGTAAAAATAAAGTAAGAAAATAATCGTCAAGTTTATTTATTTGAAAACATTTTACTGCGTATTAGAAAGCTGAAAATACTGACGAGCAGTCTTTCTTGTTTGGTTTATTTTGCAATAATTTTCACTTTTTCAGACTTAAGCAAACATATCAAATTTTATTATTTAAAGTTAATTAAAACTTCTGGACAGAAAAGTTAGTACAAATTTAGTTTTGTATGGAAATACTTATTAGTCATGGACAAATACAATATAAAAAAAATTCAAAGAATGGGCACAGGATTTTAAAACCATTCAAAGAAATGTATTAGAATGAGTTTATACTATTGTCATTTTTTTTAGAGTGCTTCGCTACCATTTTTAAATGTTTTTTTTTCAGACATATTTTCCCGCATATAACTTTTTAAACCTTTTCCCAATTTTTAATTTATTCTTTTAATAAAATGTGTGAGCGTATATTTCTAATTTTCTAATACTAGCCTTAGAGGGAGCTTCGCGCCCATCTTCTAAATTAATTGTGAACATGTTTTCTTTGTGTACATCGTAAAACAAAACAAAAATAATTTGCGGATTTTCACAAAAAATTTCGTGGATTTTCAAAATTTTTAAAAATTTAATGACGATCGAATTTTGATTGAGACAAATATTTAAAATTTCAATCATTCATAAACCTTCCCTGGGGTCCCTAGATGTCCCACAAAAAATTTGGGCCCGATCGGTTCAGCCGTTTTGACGTTTATTGGATACAAACAGACAGACAGACACCCAAACAGACAGACAAGCCAAATTTATACATAGATTTCTACAGTAGTGTTGGATTTATTGGAATTAAATATTAATGATAATAGAAAAAGTCTGGACTGATACGTATTAAGAGTTGGCGACATAGTTTAAACTCCATTATTGAACAGGACAAAGGCCGGGAGTTTAAGGGCGAAGAGGGGTTAAAAGAAAGTTGTATTCGATTCGATTTATTGAAAATTGTAAAGGAATGAGTCTTTGCAACAAATTCAGATTTTTTTATTTTTGTACATTTGTAACCCAACCCAATGTCATTAAATTTTTTAATAAATTTGAAATATCAAAGTTTCCACCATCTGGTTGCAAAAACTCAATTCCTTTAACTTGTGTGTGGAAAACCGCAGACAAAGCTGGGTTTCCTAGCATTGGAGCCACAGTGTTTTATTCAAATCGATAGCTCATAATACAATTAAAATAAAGTTGTTTTTTTAACTAAGTAATTATTTATTTATGAAATATAACAAAAACATATTAAAATAAATGTTTCAGGAGCAAATATTTAAAAAAACCTCCAAAAGTAGAGGTTGTGGGAATATTTCCCCCCAATTCTAAATTTTGATCCACCATGGTAAAGAGGAATCATATTTTATCCATATTTTACGAATGCATCTTCAAAATTAAAAAAAAACCATTTCTATAAATATCTTTTTATGATTTTAAACTATATGTGCCAGTAAAAGCTGGTTTTTATTATATTTATAAAACATACAGTGCATTAACGCTAAATTTCTCTATTTGCATTACAGAAAAAACTAGTTAAAGCTAGTTTTTTAACAATATACTTATAGGCTAGTGGTGGATTTACAAAAAGTTTATATCGTGGGACTCATAGAGCTGTAGATTATGAAGACGACATTTAGACAATATTCTGTGTATTTTCTGTTGCTTAATTGCAAATTTCTGTTTATTGGAATATTAAAAATGAAAAAATTCCAACTGTAAGCGTAATTCTAAGTGGAAACCCATAGAGTAATAAAACGAAGAGGTAAAGCTTACCCAAGATGTACACAACTGACCTCCATATTAATTAATTAATAGAGGGGTCGGTTGTGTACATCACGATATGTTTAATTATCCAACACTGTACACTTGTAAATAGAGGGATCGTATTTCTTGGAGGTGGTAAAATGTAGATAATTTAAAATTGTCAAATGTGTGCAGTCAACATCCTCGAATTCTTTTTATATAAAGAAAGAAAATCTAAAAATTTATCAATTGAAATACGATCATTCTATATACAAGTGTAAGTGTTAGATACGTAAACATATCCTGATGTACACGACCAACCACCCTATTAGTTAGATAAGCTTTACCTCTTCGTTTCCTTTCTCTAAGTGGTAAACCATGTATATCCCCGATCCTATCCGGTAACCTTTGACGATTAAGGATTACAGACTGTTCCTTATTTACACTTGTAATCTACGATTGTAATTGTTCCACACTTTGTCTGTAACTGGAGGGTCACTTGATACTTCGCTTACAGTCACTTTAAATATGACAGTCGTCTTCTTTTCCAAAGTGTTCAGGGTCTCACTGATTAAACTAGTTTTATTGAAATTTTTCTGGAGGCAACAATTGTACAATCCATAAACATGACCCCAGAGGTTAAAGGTAATGTGACGTCTGCCAAAAAAAAACTTGGTGTTTTGTAGACGTTTAATAATTAAAACATTGAATGAAAACTTCGCAGAGTGGGTCGTTATTTTACTTAATTGTCCCAGGGACGTTAAGTCGCTTAACGTCTCTATTTCTAGGTCGGTAATGAGATAAAAAGTTAAAAACAAAAGTTTTGTAAATTACTACATTTTAAATTGCTGGGGCACTTTCATTTTGGGTTTAAGTGCATGACCACTTTTTTGGATTAGTTTTCAAGAAATAGGAAAACGTGAATATTTCATCAAAAGCTGTCCAACACCCTTGGGAGTTGCCTTCGCACCCTTCCTGTTCCGCAATTCAATGCAATATTTTTCAAATCTACAATAACTCTTACTAAATAATTTATTAAGGCCATTAATTCGGGGTTTCTAGGTTTCTAGTAATAAACCAGTCAAAGGGTCATGACTAATAAATGATTAATAGTGTAAGCTGGATTTATAGATATTTTTGGTACTTATTAATATGTAAAATTGTCTACCATAACATGCTAAGACAAACAGAAAAGTACGTTGTCTCATTTAAGTCATTTTTTAATTTTCTTTTATTGATCTTTATTTATGTCGAAATGCTTAGTGCATTAATTCAGGATTTTCTTGATAAGAAGTAATAAACCAGTCAAGGGGTCATGACTTATAAATATTTAATAACGTGAGCTGGATTTATAGATATTTTTGTTATTTATTAATATCTAGAATTGTCTACCATAACATGCTAAGACAAATAGCAAAGTACGTTGTTTTATTTTTTTATTTTTCTATTATTGTACATATCGGCAATAAACTCAAGATTCTCAAGGAAAAAAAGTAATAATCCAAGAAAAAAAGTTATATACCCCCAGCCAATGGGTATTGTAATGACTAATAAGTATGTAGTAATATGAGTTTGATTTATAAAAAAATTTATTATTTATTAATATCTATAATTAAGTCACCAATGGACAATTAGAAAAATATAAAATTAAGTACGTATGGTCTCATTTGAACCATCCTCGTATTTTTATATTTTTCTTCATCTTTCGCGAGGAAAATTGTCAATTTTGGCGATAAATGATTGTTCGTTGTAAAAATATGCAAAACAGTTTTTTAGGAAGAAAAAGAAAAATTTGAAAAGGAGCTCATAGAGTAGTGAGGGAAGGAAGAGAGAAATGGGGTGGGGGGTCCTAAACTGTGCCCCTCCCCCTTAACTTAAATTTGTGTACACCTTTTGTACACCTTTATTGGGACTTCCCTCTCTGTGTACAATTTTGATGTGAACTCAAGTTCCAAATATTAGATCCAATAAAAATGCAGCATTAAATATTGTACTGCAGTTCCAAAAAAACCTCTGGATCGTTAAGGGAATAAATCTTTGAAATAAGAATTGCTCGTTTTATTGCAATCTATGGTCATTGAATTATCACTTTAAAGTATATTTCCTAAGTGTTTTGAAGAGAGTGACCACCCCCAAAGTAGGAGTTTTGAACGTCGAATTTGCGCTCAAACTCAGGATTTACAGATCTTTAAAAAGTTTAATATTTCTCAAATGAATCCTAAAGAAGTTTTCCACAACACTGCATACTCAGTTCAACTACCTTACATAGCCGGTCACTCCCTTTAAGTCATTATCATATTGCAAAATTGGGGCTATTTTTAATTTAACATTATATTATTAATTAACAAAAATAATTAAACCAAATTTTAAAATTAATTGGATTTAATGATTCAGTAAATTGCAAAAAGTCTCTGTGTTTGAATAATATACAATACTAGCTGAAGGGCCCGGGGTTGCCCGTGGATAGAAATAAAAATAAAACGATAAAAATTTACTTTTAAAAAAAAATTAGAATTTTTTTAAGCCTATGTCACACACAGTTTACCCATGAGTGTCCACACAAAACTTTAGCCTATTCGGTCAAACCGTTTGGCCGGCCAGAGGGAACATAACATTATACCAATGTCTTATTATATAGATTTTACTCATTAAAAATTTGTTTTGTAAATCGTAATTTAAAGTAACCCCACCGGCCACCCCCCCCCCCCC